ATCACCATCGAATCTCTGCCACCAATATGGAAAATGATGACAAGTGGCACTGAGGCCCACCAGGGTCCTTTAGAGATCACAGAACTGCTATAATCATTCCATGTGTGGTTATGGAGATATAGCCAGAAGCTACTGCCTCTCATAACAGTAAATAAAGAACAACACTAAAAAACAGGGGAATTCCAGACAAGAAACAATCAGGGCCAGCTTATAACTTCCCAACAAAGTATTCCTCCAGGCAGTAACAAGCCAGATCTTGAAACTGCTGTGCCATTAAATGCTAATCAAGCTGGCCAGTTGAAACATTCATACCTACCTCGAACAGACAAGAGTTCTTCTTTCCACCGTGGATATTCCACAGATATATGAGCCCCATTTTCTTAGTTTCCAGCAGACCTCACAACCTCTGAGGATGCCTGCCATAGATGAAAGTGAAACGTCTGGGGAGAATGCTTCTGGGACATGGCCATACAGCCCAGAAAACTCACAACAACCCATTTTAAATAGCGGTTTGTTATTAAAATGCTGATTTTTAAAAATACGATATTTCCTCTTTCCCTGCTACTGCTTAAAAGTATTTTTTTTAAAAAAATGATAGAGCTTTTCTCCTGTCATTTATATCTCATAAATGTCATGGAGGCCTTTGCACTGGCCTTGTGAAATAAAAGACATTTAAATGGGAAGGTAACCGGTCTTAAACAGGTCTTAACTAAGCCGTATAACCAGTCTCATCCATGATGAATTATTGTCATTTTCCTTCAAGCACATACTTAATTCCTTTGCACAGAAATTTGAGAAAACATATTGCATACAGATTTGAAAAGTAAATTGCAAGAAATTAAGGAAAACTAGGCTGAATGAGTTTAAATGATACAGAGAAACCATTTAGTACAATTGTAGCGGGTGGGAAGATCCAGGACAGCTTGTAATCAAAAGACAGGGTGTTGATTTTAGAATCAAAAACACACAAAATCGTTTCCTTGAAAACAGCTGAACTTGTAATGGTTAGAAAGAACAACAAAGTTAATTCATCCTATCACATAGGGCTAGGCTAAATATAATATATGCTCCAATTTGACAGGTCTGTTTTTGTTTCTACCAGTTTAGGAGTGGCTAGAGAGCTTCAACCCTTTCCTGGCTTCTCATGCCATTGTTGGTATGAAAATCACCCATCCTATGCTATTGCCATGCAAGGAATGCTCTTTCCTTTGATAACTATTTCAGAGCCATGGTGAGGTGGGGAAAACAGTGAAAACCCCATTTCTTTTATGTACCTTAATCTTGATTTTCATCCTTCTGATGGCAGCAACATGTCTATGCATGTGTCACTGTCACTTGTAAACTTACAGTGCCACTTTGAGTGACTTGTCAACTTACAGTGACCCCATGAATTTCAAAAGGTTTTCTAAGGACCTCATCACATTAGAGAATGAATCCACTTCGTAGTTTGTAGTTTAGTGAGGCTGTTAAAGGCTTCTCCCTAAACTACAAACCCCAGAATTCTGCAGGAGGTACCAACCGGATTTAAAGTGGATTCATTCTCTAGTGTGATGAAGTCCTTAGGTGGTTTTGCTAGTTCCTTCTTCTGAAATATAGCCTATAGCACACTATATTCATTGTCTTCCCCAGTCGCCTGTGTTTAAAAAATTGTATCAGGTTAAGTGAGATTATATACCTAATGAAATGTGTCATTTAGCAAGATTCTGAAATATCCACTATTTCTTTAAGCAAGGCATGATATACAGTTTGCACTGTGTTGTGGTTGGTGAGTTGAGAGAACTGGGAACTGAAGAAGCTTGAAATAGCATCTCTCAGTGGATTTGGGAAGGTGTTACAGCAAAACATTCTGTAATGTTTATTTGAGATCATATTGGTAACATTTTGTTCTCCAGTGATATGATGAATTGACAGACTGTAAAAGGGCCTAAATACCCCAAGGACATCCAATCCTCTTTGCTTTTTCTGGTCTTGAAAGCTAAGCAGGGTCAACCTTTGTTAGTGCTTGGATGGGAAATTGCCAGCAAATACCAAACCCTGGCAAAACCACTTCTGAGCATCCCTTACCTGAGAAAACTCTATGAAATGCATAAGGTCATCATAGGTTGACAGGCAACTTGAAGGGACATGTGCAAATGCATACATACAGCTACAAAAGGCATGGAACTAGGATAAAATACATTTTGTAAACTCCTGTATTTACGTGTGTGTGTGTAGTTTATATATCATGTCAGAAGTGAATTGAGAATATTTATTTGCTTCATTTACACCCCACCTTTATCACTTCTGCAGGGGGACTACAGTTATAATGTATAAAAAATCGCAAAGTTAAAAACTTGGCATTATACTAAATTTCCTTTGACCAGAAGCTTGCCACTTCGAGTGCCTCTGGTGTCGCTGCAAGGATATCCTCCATTAGTCATTTGGCAGAGCTCAGACAGCATTGTAGTAAGTGGTCTGTGGTTTGCTCTCCTCCACACTCGCATTTTGTGGACTCCACTTCATCGCCCCATTTCTTAAGGTTAGCTCTGCATTTTGTGGTGCCACAGCACAGTCTGTTCAGTCACCCAGTCTTCTTTGTGCCCAGAAGGGAGTTTCTTCCAACTCACCCAGTCTTTTTTGTGTCCAGGGGGGAGTTTCTCATCTGGTATCAGCCACTGATTGAGGATCCGGGTTTTCACCTGCCACTTTTGGACTCAAGCTTGCTGAGGTGTTCCTGCGAGTATCTATGTACATATTAGGAAGCTATTTCTCTGATATCCGAACAGAGGATGGGCCAGAGATGTCAATGCCTTGGTTCTTTCATTTATATATGATGGGGCAGGGAATAAATATACATGAAAAAAAATAATCATGTATCTCGCAGTTGTTTCCCAACATAACTAGAGAGACCCAGGTTGGAGTAAAGTGTTCTAGCATATGAACATGGCATGTACTTCCTTCCATCTCATTTTTGTCTTACGAATACATATAGCAAAAGAATGAGACTGGAAAAACTGTAATACATGGATTTAATGTGAAATCTATGTGGTTTAAATGTCTTAGTAGGATGACCTTGCAAAATCCCTTCTTCATTGTCATTTTCTCAAGCCATGCTGACCCCTTTTTATTTTTCTTTGAATAATTTAAATTTTCTTGGGGGTTTGAATGGTATAAATGGACATTAAACTGAGATGAATGTGGTTTTGCTTATTTCATGTGGTCTTAAAGGCTCTCTGCCATTTTTTTCTTTTGAAGTTGCATACTTGCAATACATATGTGAACTGTAATGCTATATTCTAAATGTTCTCCTTTAAAAATGCTGTATGACCCACAGATGATTGCAATCTGTTCAGTATTAATGTGGTTCACTTATCTTTGAAATCACTGAAATTAAAGAGTAGGGCTCAGTGCCTATCTACAAAGCAAACACTTAGGCAGGGCTGTTTGAAATTCTGGATTGAAACATGATGCAATTAAGAACTAAATTGGCCTTCTTTGAAAAAGAGTAAAGTCTAGTTTGAGGGATAAATTAACTTTGACTAACCTTGTTTCTGAACTTCTTTTTTTGAAATAAGACTTGCTTAGATGTGAGCTATAGATTTATAGGTCAAATTTGGACTGAAGGTCCTTTGCACTAACACAAACGAGTTAAAATTATGTGTCCTTTTAAATATAGTATTGAAAGATTCCCATCCAAATTCTTTTAATTGTGCATTTCTGTTATAAATGCTTTTTATTGGCTAGCCAATTGACCAATATTTGGTTATTAATAGTTGTGTTGTTGTAGGTATCATTCAAGGACCATTCTTAAGTTATTACCATGTGTTGTGTATTTTCCAGTTTACATAATTTTAATATCAAATAATATTAGACATCAAAGAGGAAAAGGCTAAGTCTGAAGCACTTTTAAAAACCTTTTCCATTCTAAATCTTCCTGCTGCACATGTCTTTCTCAATAAATAAAAAGAGGACATTGTCCCCATCCTTCCCAAGAGACCATATAAAAAAGAATTTCAGACAAGACCATTGTAGTACAGAGGTGGTCAACACAGTGGTTTGCAGATGTTTCTGTCTACAGCACCTATAAGCTCCATCGAGGGCAGACAAATGTTACTGACTTTTCAAGTAACTACAAAATATTTGGGAGCCATATAATTGCCTACTTTTAGTTTAGGACAAGGATATACATTTGTTTTTGTTTGCATCTTAAAGAATTTGGATACCAGCTAGACCAAGGATGGCCAGCGTAATCTAGATATGTTTAGAACTACAATCCCATTTTGTCAAGATGGCTGGGACTGATGGAACATGCACTCTAATGTCTAGAAATCTCTGTTTGCCTACTTAAGAAGTATTTTTATTTATTTACAGCATTTATATACCACTTTTCTCACTAGAATCCTAGAATCATAGAATCAAAGAGTTGGAAGAGACCTCATGGGCCATCCAGTCCAACCCCCTGCCAAGAAGCAGGAATATTGCATTCAAATCACCCCTGACAGATGGCCATCCAGTCTCTGTTTAAAAGCTTCCAAAGAAGGAGCCTCTACCACACTCCGGGGCAGAGAGTATAATTGAGTATAATTGTTTGGTCATTTAGAGGAAAGATGGATTATTTATAATCCTCTGAGAGTTATTGGGCTGTAACACCTTCTATCTCAGGCATGGGTAAACTTGGGCCCTTCAGGTGTTTAGGACTTCAACTCCCACAAATCCTAACAGCTGGTAGGCTGTCAGGAATTGTGGGAGTTGAAGTCCAAAACACCTGGTTTGCCCATTCCTATTTGCCCATGCCTGTTCTAGTTTGATCACTGACCAGAGCAACATCTGGAGAATGACAGGGTTCTGATCACTGATTATTATCAGTAGCTGCAGTGCTACACACATTGAATTTCAGAGTATCAGCCATTGTTAGCGTGTACTGCTAGAAAAATAGCTTTATGAGTGTCATAAAGGAGTCAAAATTAACTTGTGACCTAAAAGTTATAAACAGATTGTTGTGTATGCCTTTTAACTTGCAGAGTGCTGAACAAATTTCAATGTTGTGCCCACACTTCCATGAAGCTCATGTAAATGGTATGGAAGCAGTAAAAGACATCCCCCCGGTAAAGCCACTGACACGACAACTTACAGATGCTGACAGACTCCGAAAGGTTATTCAAGAGCTTATGGACACAGAGAAATCCTATGTAAAGGTAACAAGAAAGTTTTGCCAAATTCACTTCGCCCTTGAGTTCCTTCTCTCTGTTAATTGTCACTGGCCAAATATTGCTGATTTGAAATAAAAGAAGCAGAAACTAGAGGACAGCCAATGGATTCTGTAGAAGAAATTGGAAATAGGTGTGAAGATGCTCAAAAGATGCTTATTAGTATACCCTTATCAATAAATCTAAAATCCTCTGAACCCAAACATTGTCCACATGGGTGGCTATGATATTGCTGTCTTTGCTTTCTGATAAATCAGTGTACACATACTTTGTTTCCTGCACAAAAGTATTTAAAATACTGTATAAAGTCCCATCAGGCTATGCATATGAAACATAAATAAATTTCATGATTAGGTTTGGGTATAATATCCAAGGTATCTCAATATGTATGTCTATAAAAATACAGATATTCCCAAAACTATACTCCAATCACCCCTAGTGCCAAGCATTTTGGATAAGCAGTACTGAACCTATACTAAACATCCCAATACCTTTTGGCTGAAACATTGTGTGACTTTTATTAATACACTAGCTATCTTTGGCATATCTTGAACTGTATCTCCAGTGGTTTTCATGTGAATTACCATGGATATTCCTTTCTTATAACTAAGATCTGAGGGACACCTAACAATATTTCCCAAAGTTTTATCTATATGTCCCAAGCCCCTAATTTGCTCTCACAAGTGCATCTCCTTTCATGTTAGATCAGCCACATTGGAGGCAGACCTTTGGAAATGTTTTCCTGGGATTTCAGATTGTCCAAAATCTAATGATTGGAGGACTTCTATGTTAAATTTTCCTAGTGTTAAAGGCTTCGATTTTTGTAAAGCCCACATAAAAAACTTCAAACCTTAAATTTTCAGTTAAAAGCATACATGTGTGAAACTATTCCAATGAGAAAATTAGAATGTGTCAAAATTCAGACCAGAACTGATTCTAAGGATATCTATAAATATTTACCCTGTGGTATAACATAGTGGCTAAGAGTCCGAGTTTGCATCTGGGAAGAACTCACTAAAGGTGATAATTGAGCTGTTCCCTGAGAAGTCCACTTCCCACCTATAATGTGGGGGTGATAAACCTGGCCTGATTCTGATAGAAGCTTTTTTGTTGCATTTGTGAAGTGCTTGGATCACTGAAAGTGTTATGTAAACATAAACGTTAGAGAGGTCTCTTTTAAAGGCAACAACATCCAGTTTTTTTAGCACTTGCAACCCCTTGGTGGTGCAGCGGGTTAAACCGCTGAGCTGCTGAACTTGCTGGCTGAAAGGTTGGCAGTTCAAATCCAGGGAGTAGGATGAACTACCTCTGTTAGCCCAGCTCCTGCCAACCTAGCAGTTCGAAAACATGCACATGTAAGTAGATCAATAGGTACCACTTCGGCAGCAGAATAATGGCGCTCCATGCAGTCATTCTGGCCACTTGACCTTGGAGGCGTCTATGGACAATGCCGGCTCTTCGGCTTGGAAATGGAGATGAGCACCACCACCCCCAGAGTCAGACACGATTAGACGTAATATCGGGAAAATCTTTACCTTTACTGAAACCTCTTCTATTTGTTAGGTTGCCACCAAAATACTTTCCATAAGAAAAGATTGCACCAACATGTGTTTGTGTATAAACAAAAATAATTTGTATTCTCCCTCATTTTAGAAGGTTATTGTGTAGATATATTGGGTCTTCAAAAGGATAGAATAGACTTCCAATTTCTCTACTCAAAGGTATTTTTCTGTCCTTTATATAGAGAGTGTGATGGGAACTCAAACAATGCCACTAGGAGTATAATGGTGTGGATCTCAGCAAAAACTAATTCATTTGAGTGTATTATACATCGGAATGATCAAAGTATTGTTTTTATTTTTATGTTGGACTGCTAGAAAGCTTGTAATTGTTATCCCATTGTAGGATCTGAGCTGTCTCTTTCAATTGTACTTGGAGCCTCTTCAAAGTGAGACCTTCCTAACTCAAGATGAGGTAAGCGTATTTTGCTGCTGTTGTTTTAGCTGCTTTCTGGTCTTTTGCAATTTTATGGCTGCTTCTACTATATTAGTCATGAAGGGGGAAAAGCACACTGAGTTATTCTATCTGCTACATTAGTCATGTCTGTTATAAAAACTGACTGCACTTCTGACAAAAATGTTCCTAAGAAATCTTTGTTTGAGAAATCCCTTGTTCTTATGCAATCAGTGCTAAAGCGATTATGAGACACATTCATTACAGTTAAGTATCCTTTTGTTTATCCCTAGCAACATACAGATGAATTGCCTTCTTTGTAAACAACTTTCATTCTCCATATTTTATATATTTTCCCTTCCATTTAGATGGAGTCTTTGTTTGGGAGTCTGCCAGAGATGCTGGATTTTCAAAAAGTATTTTTAGAGACCTTGGAAGATGGAATATCATCTTGTTCTGATTTTAACACACTTGAAACTCCGTCACAATTCCGGGTAATACAGAGTTTTGAAATCCTTGCATGTCTAAATAGGATTGACCGAAGGTAGTGCTGGTCCCTTTTGGTTTATTTTTTTCTTCCATACCTTCTCTTCAACTGAAATCTTTATATGCTTAACACTGAAATTCTGAGAATGGAAACTTTCATATGTATGGACATAGATTGAATTTCCTTCAGGGTCAGATTTAGGTAGCAGATATTTTTGTTCCCTCCTTCCTCTCCAGAAAAGCTTTGCCTATGTCCAAAGCCCAGTTTTCAGGGTTCTCGCTGTACGAGAGCCAACTGTGTTAAACAAGATTCCCCAACCCTCACAGTAAGTCTAGTTGTGTCCGACTCTGGGTGGTGGTGCTCATCTCCCTTTCTAAGCCGAAGAGCCAGCATTGTCCGTAGACATCTCCAAGGTAATGTGGCCAGCATGACTGCATGGAGCATTGTTACCTTCCCGCAGAAGCAGTACCTATTGATCTACTCACATTTGCATGTTTTCAAACTGCAAGGTTGGCAGAAGCTGGGGCTAACAGCGGGAGCTCACCCCGCTCCCCGGATTCAAACCACCAACCTTTTGGTTAGCAAGTTCAGCAGCTCAGCAGTTAAAAATAATTTATTTGCCAATAATTGCTAAAGAAGGGGAAAAGGGGATATAATTGCTTTGCCAAAATTAGTTTTAGTCAATGTAGTTGAAAGTGACAACATTTCTATGGTTAAGTATATGTAAAGCTAAACTGCACGTATTTGTAATCAATAAACGTATCCATATTTATTTTCCCTTGTGTTGTTTTCCATATATATCTTCCTTGTATTTATTTCCTTACTTTGTATTAGGCTTGTTTTTCATGATTTTAAATGCTGTTTCCCACTTTAAGATACTCGTATATTGAGAAGCTGGCTACAGCTGTTATAAATGGATAAATGAATGAATTGTTGAAATAACCTCACATTTATTTATTTATCGGAGAACAAGACAGATGCCTAAAAATGGATATATTTCACTTCAGTCTTCCACTGTGTTGTTTTCAGAAACTTCTATTCTCTTTGGGAGGTTCTTTCCTATATTATGCTGACCATTTCAAATTGTACAGTGGATTCTGTGCAAATCACATCAAAGTCCAGAAAGTTCTTGAGCGAGGTAAGTGTCCTGAGGATATAATTTTTGTATGTGGTAGAGATCTGAAGTACATAAACAGTTATTTTACATGGAAAGAGTATTGAGAAGATGACTTCAACTTCATTTTTGTAGTCTACCCTGACGCTTACTATGTAGTAGTGGACAACTTTGGGGAGCGTGATCCCTGAAAACCACCTTCTGTCACAGGACACTCAACGTTGCTATTACATGGACTTTTCATGGATTTAAATCTAGATGTGTGTGAGGAGGGGGGAGCCACAGGAGGGTTTTAAAGTGATGGTGAATCTGAAACTGTAAGAATGTAGAATGGTACCCCAAAATAGAATTAAATAGCTACTTTCAGATTTGAACTAAAATCCAGCAGACCTCACGACCTCTGAGGATGCTTGCCATAGATGCAGGTGAAACGTCAGGAGAGAATGCCTCTGGACCATGGCCATATAGCCTGAAAAAACCTACAACCTACAACAACCCACTAAAATCCTGCTGCGTAGCGAACATTTGAGTATGTTCAACTCTCCTGTTTGCAAAGTTATACTTGTGGAAATATTTATCTGAAAAGAATTGTGTGCCTCCTTTTATATATGAAAATGAGAGACAGCTTCAAAGGCAGTTTTAAAGCACTTATCAGAACATCTGCCAATCTTGAGCGTAAAATTCATTGAAGGTACCTAAAAGGAAAAAAGGCAACATCTAGTTTTAATTAAACAGGATGTGAATAGTAGCTATAGTGCACTGATACAAATCAGTACAACTAGATCATTGTACACGGAAATACAGGTTCATGTGATTCCATGGGGCTATTATTGGGAATCCAGCAGTATTATTGGGAATCCAGCAGTATGAATACAGTATGGGAAGGAGTAACAAAAGAACATTGTCATTATGTTGTGCCCTCCTACTTATGTTGGTAACCTTAGCCAAGAGAGAAGTGACTACATTGATTCTTGGTACTACTGGCATATTTCTGGAGTAGTGTATGAATTGAACAGCAGGGATTATTTTCCCAAATGTGCTAGGGACCAGCAAAAAACCAAATCTTTCTTCCTTGAAAGTTTGTGAGGGCCCAGCATCCAATGGCCTGGGGACCACCACTAGACTAGAAGCAATCACTTACTTTGATCAACACTATTGATCAAGCAAGGGTGGGTACCTTTTGATCCTTCAGATGATGACGGGTTGCAATTCCAGTATTCTTCATTATTGGCTATTTTAGCTAGGATTGCTGGTACATGCACTCGAATAATGTCTGGGGTGGTGCGTATGGGGGCGGGGTGTGTGTGTGCATACAACTGACACTTTATCTAGGACATAATTCAGAGTTCTGGCTGTGACCTTACAGTTATCTTTCTAGCTGTATTGTCTTTTTTTAACATTGTAAACTGCCTTGTAGCCTAATTTTGGGAGAAATGCTGAATACAAATAAATTTTATTGTTATTCCTGTCCCTATTCTGGTGAGAAACAGGCTGAAACTGCAACTAAAGCATCTCTGGTTTGCCATAAATGCTTTTCAATGTATCGTTGCAATCAAAACAAAATGGCATAAATGGTACTTACTTCACTGAACATTAATCTCTAGGATGCATTGAAATGTCACAATTTTTTTTGTTTTGTTTAGCCAAAACAGATAAAGCCTTTAAGGCCTTTCTGGATGATCACAACCCTACTAAGCAGCATTCCTCCACATTGGAGTCTTTTCTCATCAAGCCAGTTCAAAGAGTGCTGAAGTACCCACTTCTCCTGAAAGAACTGGTATCCCTGACAGACCCTGAGAGTGAGGAGCACTACCATCTCACAGGTATATCTTTCAGGAGCTCATAGCTATGGCTCAGTTTGAGGTGCTACTTAAAACCTTTTGGTGATGTTTGCATTCAGATCACACATTTAACATCAAGATCTGGGATGGGGAATGTTCCCTATAGACGAATTTAGACACTGGTCTAAACCTAACTCCTACACCACAACCTATGCTCACGTTCTGGTGTAGGTATGGGGATCTCCATATGATTTACTTCTGTTTTTGATTAATCACAATTTGTTATGTTCTCCAAAAACCAAATCAAAACACTGTTTTGAACCTCAGCTATGGTTCATTTTCATTCCCCTTGACATCACAATTTGTAATCCCCTCTTCTTTTCACCAATAAAAATATCCAAGAGATCTGGATGATAGTACATGACTGATATAACTCACTAAATTTATGGTAATTTCTGCAAATTGCACCAAATGGATGCTGTTTTTTTATCTTCAAGATTTCATTGGTTTTTTTCTCGCAGACTAGCATAGTCACTTCTCCAAAAAATGTAGGCTTTTAATAAATGCTGTCTATGCTTTTTAGTTGTCGGTTAAATTGTAGACTTGTTTTTAAAACCACAGAAGCCTTAAAAGCAATGGAAAAGGTGGCCAGTCACATCAATGAAATGCAGAAAATTTATGAGGATTATGGAGCAGTGTTTGACCAGCTGGTTGCAGATCAGAGTGGAACTGAGAAGGAGGTCACAGAACTTTCTATGGGAGAGCTCCTTTTGCACTCTACACTGTCATGGCTGAATCCATTCCCATCATTAAGTAAAACAAGAAAGGACTTGGAACTCACTGTGTTTGGTGAGTATATCAATTTTATGTGAAACCGATATAGTCTGGCATCTTAATAGTGGCATATTTTTTGCCAAGATGAAGATGACGGTGATTCTTTTTTACCCTCAACTGTGATGAAAGCCCCTTCCCCAACCATTCATGGCTGGAAGAAATCAGGAAGATATCAGAAGCACCTGGCTATGTCTTTGTAGTCCAAGGCTACTGAAATCTCCAGAAAAGCCCAGTTAATTTCTGTGGATGATGTCATCACTTTGTGTATAGCTACAGGGGCATTGCCAGATTCCACTATGAATGCCTCTGAGTGGAGGGCTCCAGCAGCTCTGCATTAAGGCCAGGGAGTTGTAAATGCATCATTGCTGCATAGTTTGATAATTCTTGCAGAATTGCAGCCATACAATGCATGTAAAATTTTATATGTGAGATGTATCAGCTGGTAGGTGACCTGGAAATATAATGAATGTGTTGTCGAAGGCTTTCATGGCCGGAATCACTGGGCTGTTGTGCTTTATAATGATGAATGTGCTTTATAATGAATGTGCTTTAAATATACACATCTTGCCAGTGGAAACGATTAGTAACAAAAAATAGTAGTTATTATTTAGTATTCAATTCTTTTGACAACAAAAAAATCCTGAATCGATGTTATTGCAGTGATTTTTTACAATGTGCCTTATGGCATTTTGGTAAGATAGTTCAGTATTAATGTCCCTCTTTGGAGAGGAAAAAACACAAGGGGGCAATAAAATACTCAGTGTTTCAACAGCGAGCCATCTCTTCTTCCAGGATTCTCTTTTTATTTTCCTCCTGAAAAGTCACTTAGCATTCCTTTGCTACTGAGCATGCTCAATCCTAAAGTAGTCTTCTTATACACTCCCCATTTAAGGCTTTAACAATTTTGGAAATCTTGAGGCTTTTTGGTGGAAAAAGCTATGATGCCAAGTTTATTTGTTTTCAGTTGTCTAGATCCACATGGTCAGCAACTTGCAAATATAATAAATAAATAAACTTGCAAATATTATAGCTCTAAAATGAATCAATACCACATAGATTTTCTAAGCAGTCACCATATGAGGGCAGTAATGCTTCAATTAGCTGTCTGGAACTGTGATGTATGGCTCATCACAGTTATGCAAATGTCTATACCACTGAGTTTGAGATATGTGTATCTACATATTATAAAGAACTTACGATACTCTTCTTCTCCAAGTCATATCGATGAGTATTTAAACACACTCTTTGCTACTATAGTTCACTTTTTTTTTCATTTTGCAATCTCTAAAAAACTTGTCCTGGAATCCTTTTCATACATCTATACTTCCTACTAGAAACTACCAAATTTGTTCCTCCAATCTCAAATATGAAATGGTTTATGGAACTCACTCTTAAAAATGAACAGAAAGTGTATACAAACACTGATAGCACATATAACATGTCTTCAAGGTCACATTCCCCCTGAAGACATAGGTCCGCAGTTTGGGAGTCTTCCTGAACTTGGCACTGAACCTGGAAAACCAGGTTTCAGTGGTGGCTAGAAGGACCTTTATACTATTAAAACTTGTCTGCCAACTGTGCCTGTTCCTTGAGAAGCTAGATCTGGCCACGGTGGCACATGCTTTAGTTACATCCCATCTACATTACTGTAATGTGCTCTATGTGAGATTGGCTCTGAAGAGTGCTCAAAACGTTAGCTGGTCCAAAGAACTGCAGCCAGGTTGCTCACTGAGGCTGGCAACAGGGAGCAGACAACCCCCCCATTGCAACAGCTTCACTGGCTGCCTGTTTCAGGGCGCAATTTAAAGTGTTGATTATGACCTTTAAAGCCTTAGACAGTTCAGGTCCAAGCTATTTGGCTGACTGCATCCCCTTCTAAGAATCTGTCCACATCCTGAGATCTTCAGGAGATGTCCTTCTCTCAGTCCCACCTCCTTCTCAAGCTTGGTTGGTGGGAATGAGAAAGTGAACCTTCCTTCTTGACTCTGGAACTCCCTACTCAGGGAAGCCAGAATGGCCCCCACCCTGCTGTCCTTCCAATGGCAGGCTAAAACCTTTTTATGCGGACATGCTTTTAAAGATGAAGGTGTTTAAGATCTAGGCAGAGAGTGCTGTGGTTTTTAACTTTGAATATGTTTTGATGGATTTTAACTGAATCTTTAGTGTTGTTTGTGTTTAATTCTGTATTAATGTTTGTATACTTGTATATTTTAAATTGTATAGTAATGCATTATGTCAAGCCGCTTTGAGTCTTCTTTGAGGAGATAAAGCAGGGAATAATAATAATAATAATAATAATAATAACAATAACAATAACAATAAAAAGCCTTGTGCAAATGTCAGCAACTGTTTTGTTCAATTTGTGATGGGTTTTTGTTTATATCAAACACAACATTATTTTTAAAAGCCAATTAATGATTTTTCATTCATTTTTATGGGTTAACATATTGGCTAAATAATCAGTAAATGTTCTTTTCTTTTTCTCTTAGTGTTCAAAAGGGCTGTCATTCTGGTATACAGAGAGAACTGCAAACTCAAGAAGAAGTTGGTAAGTTTTAAAAGTCCAGACTAGCATTATCTCTATATATTAAATATATATTTATATATTAACAACCCTTTGTTGTAGTTGTTACTAATATTCCAGGCAGTTCTCAAACACTTGCCAAAATAGAAGGGTTTTTAGTGCATGTGATAGTAAAAAATGTCTAACCTCTCTGGCAAGGGACTTCCAGGGGCTGGAAGGGCGTCTCTTGTGTCCCTGCCAGATGTTCCTGTGAAGGCGATGGGATAGAAAGTTTTTTGCAGATCTCAAGATACACACAGGCTCCAAAGGAATCTTCAAATAACTGAGTAGTATAAGCTATGTAGTTCAGAACCATCACTTTTAATTGTGCTTGGAAACAAACCAGAAGCCAGTAGAGTTGTGTACACCCTATAGTCTGCCCAACTAACATCTGTTTGCAGCTCTGGATCGGCCAACATTTCCAAGCAGTCTTCAAATGGATCTACCCCCTTACTATAGTAATCCAAACATAATGTAACTATTTTCATTTACAAATTAGGCTTTAGGTTATTGTCAAAGCACCTGCTGCAGTTAATATTAAGACAGCGAACTTCTTTGTGGTAATGCTAGTGAATTATTTAGATTGGGAAGTCATGTACAATACTTTGGTTAGGTGAGTGAAATGAAGAGTCACATATATATTTTCTTTTTTTACTGGATGAGCCCATATTCTGTTGTGCTTTGGGCGAATGGGGAACTTCTTGCATAAGGAGGTATTGAATATCTCCTTGCACAAGCATCCAAACATTGCAAGCACTGGCACAATTAGGGGTTAGCAAGATTCCAGCCATAGGGCTGAACCAGGAAATAGTCATGACTGTGGGTCAATTTTGAGTTCAAATGATTTCTTCCACTTATTTTATTGGTTCTTCCCTAAGCACAATTGAGTTTGCATCTAAGTATTATAGGCTCTCCTCCTGTGATGTTTTACACCAAAATCTCAGAGACAATGAGATCATCAGTAAATCTGAGACCTCCTCTATGAGTGGGGACTATTCTTTGAGTAGGACTTGATTCATATGAGTTTTGGATACATCCCATTTAACTGGAAGTTTATTGATTTCTGTGTGATAATGGTCTGAATTTGGTTGGTAGCTCTAGTTAGATTGGATCCACTGAACTAAAACTGGCTGGAATTCACTTGGAAACTTGAAGCAAACTTGTGTCTGCAGGAAATAAAACTGAGCATTTTCACAATGTATGTATTCAGCAAAGCGCGTTATGCTACTACATAGAGGGAGCCAGCAAACTGACTGTTGAGCATGGGGACCAATGCACAACAGGACAGATGTGCGCTGTGACATTGGCAAGGGAGGGGCCAGTATGAATCAGCAGGTAGCATCATGTTGCATATCATCAGAGTTCAGTAATGTAGTTCCTTAGCACATCTACTATGTAGCGAAATATATGTGAAGATACGCAATATAGACCATAATAGAGAATTATTTATGTGGTCATTAGTTGATACAGTGAGCCAATTCTAATTGGAACTAGCAGTAGATCAGGCTTAGTGTTTTACGGATACAGATCTTGTCTATCTTTTAAAAAGGCAGCAACACTAAAATGTTTTTTTTCTTTTTCTTTTCAAGGCAACCAATGTCCGTGCTACCCATAATCATGGTGATCTGGACTTGTTTAAATTCCGTTGGTTGATTCCTTTGTCTGCACTTCAAGTTCGACTGGGAAATACAGCAGGTTCCTATTGTTGTTATTTTCTTCAACATTATGTATTGTTACTGCTTATCTGGAAAGCTTGTCTTACCACTTAGAACAATCTGTAATTACTGTTGGGCAGAATTCTCTATGGATTTGTATTAACTAGGCACATCCTTCTGGTTTGGCCTCTCAAAACCTGACAGAAACATCATTCAAACATCCTCTGACAGTTGGCAGAATGACAGTCTTTCTCCTCATTCTGATGATGCTAGGTAAAGTAAGTTGAACAGTGAGTCACGGTAATGGCAATGTCAAAATCATGACTAAGTACTGATCGTGAATGCAAAACAGTTGTGGTTAGGTAACTGTTTTGTATATGTGATCACGATTTAGACATGATTGTGACATTATTATCTCTTCCCCACAAACTAATTTACCAATTGGAATCCTGTATAAGAAGAAGAAGGGGATTCATTCTGGTGACCATCAATGCACAGCTGAATGCTTCTGTTAGGTTTGGAGGGGTCAGGCCCAGGAAATGTTACTTACCTGATTTCTTAGTTAATTATAAACTAATTCAGATTTCTGACCAACATTTTTTTCTCCGAACACTTTGTAGTTGTAAAGTACATCAATAAAGAAAAGAATTTAAATTGAGCATGGCATGTAATTGATTCTGCCTTTCTCTCAAAATTGGCTTCACTATTTTAACAAAAATTATTAACAGATATATTTAGTTAGCAAAAACATTTATCACTCCCAAACTTAGCATACAATTTCCCCCACTTGCAAACAAAAATTCTACTCTTAAATGGGATCAAAACTTTTTAAAAAGATTTTCATTACATTAATCTTTCTTGATGTTCAAATAACATGTTTCTTACACATGGCAGATGTTTTTTTGATAAGTAACTTTTTTCAGGTTTTAAAATATGGTTTAAGAGGACTATATGTGTCCTGTCGACTTAGTGACCCCATGCCTTTCATGAAGTTCTAGACAAGGATTACTCAGAGGTCGTTTAGTCTACTCTTTCCTCTGAAATGTCACCTACAGCATCTGGTATTTGTTGTGTTTCCTATTCATGTAGTAATAGGGCAGACTCTTCTTAGTGTCCAAGATAAGATGGTGTCTTTAGGGTGTTAAGGTCCTCTTTTAACAAATTACAGTATTCTATATTTGAATCGGAGGTAAGCATTTTTATAGGAAAACCTTAATTAATAAAACAGAATTAAGTCTCACCATGGGCAGTAGTTTTTGGATGACATTAAAGCCCTATCGAGGCCCCTTCAGTCTTCCTATTAAAGGCTAGAATCATTATGAAATATTTATAATCTAATTTCTTTCTACATGCAGGAACGGAAAACAACTGCATTTGGGAACTAATTCATACGAAGTCAGAATTGGAAGGAAGACCTGAAACAACCTTCCAGTTATGTAGCAGGTAAGTGGATAATACAAAGATAACAGTCCCAGGTGTATTCTTTCCCTCTTCCTCATCCCTCCTCAATAACCTTATTAGACAATTTTTCAATTATTTTATGTATCCTTCAGAAATAGCATGACAAATTGAATAGTGCTTGTTTCTCTAAAATTGACTGTGATACTGCTCAGGGAGTGGTCAAAAGAGAACTGATGGCGGTCTACTTTTCAAAACACACACAGTGGAGGGAGAAGTAAACCCTGGTTAATGATGTTAAGTGGCTAGAGCAGGGATTCTCAAACTTTTTCAGTTGCGAAGCCCTTTTTGAAGCAAAAATTTCTTATGGAGCCCCAAGAAATGTTTATGTATTATATTACATATTATATTATATATGATGTATATATATCAGGCATGGGCAATTTTTTTGACCAACATATACTTAACAGTATTCCAGTGGAAGATCCCAGGGGCCATCCAGTCCAACCCCCTTCTGCCATGCGGAAAAAGCACACCCTGATTGGTGGGAGGGAAATAGGGTTTGGAAGCCAACAAGGGGAGGGGGAAAAGATCTGGATGGTGAAGGAGGTGATTAAAAAAGGCTTTTGGGGGTGAGGGAGGTAGGAAAAAAAGAATTTTGGCGGTGAGGAAGGAGGGGGGGAGCAGGAAAGAGGAGGGAAAACTTGGAGGGTAGGAGGGAAGCGCGGAGCCCCTCAGTATGCTTTGTGGAGCCCCAAGGTCTCTGTGGAGCACACTTTGAGAACCACTGGGTTAGAGAATCAGCATCAACGCCTCACACCAATCTTCCATATTAAAACGGGAAATTTAAATCTGAAAAATTGCCATTGTCATAGATCATAACCAATTTCATCCATTTATAGTGACTGTGAAAGTAAAACCAACATTGTCAAAGTGATTCGTTCAATCTTACGAGAGAACTTTAGGCGTCAAATAAAATGTGATCTGCCTTTGGAGAAAGCATGTAAAAACCGGCTAGTTCTGCCTAAGAATCGAATTCCTGTTTCAGCAAAATTGGGTAAGAATATATTTCCTAAATCTATATGTCAAGATTTTTATCCATATGTTCTGATTTTATCTACCCATACTTACACAATCCTCATTGTCTGATTTTGATTGCGCAGCTTGGGAAGTGCTAGTTTCTAGAAAAAAGCCTATTTGTCAACAAATAGGGGTTTTTTTGGCCTAGAAGGTAAAAGTTAAAAGAAGTTGTGTGGGAGTCATGAACCTTTCACAAGGATGAGCCTGAGGATAAAAATTGGAGTTCTCACTCTGAAGCTACAGGGAGAGTAGGATTCTTCTCAGCCACTCTTGCTCTAGTCTGTACCTGCCTGCAACAGGCATAGTAACTGCAGCTGCCTCTAGAGTCCCCTTGCTGAATAGGAGTGAACAGCAAAAATGGGAAAGTGACTTCGCCTGTCTTACCAGCTGCCACCAGCATGTTAAAAAAAAGCATAGAGCTATAGGTCTGGTCACCAAAATGAAAATCTTAAGAAAAGGGGAGGTTGGTGAAAAATAACATCATCTCTGCATGCTGTTTGGAAGAAGCCTTAAAATGGTCTCTAAAAGGATGAAAATGTTCTTGCACACTTGTGCAAGGCTTACCTGATTTGGCTTACCTGGTACTAGCTGAAATATTTAGCAACTTTTGCATTTGGAAGATAATAAAGGGGTGGGGAGACAGAGACTTTTAGTGTGAATTTCCTGCAGTATGTCTGCAATAAACAAATCAGTAATGCCCAAACTGGTTGAAAATGTAATTCCAACTTAGCAATTCTATGGTAGATATATATGCCTGCTTACCACAGACAAGGTAAATAGCAATTGCCCTGAGAATTACTTAGTAAGCATGAATGAACCTTGGAGGAAAGCAGGCACCCTGCATTATCAGCTATTTCAAGCACATTTAAAAAAAATAGATTGGTAAGTTTGGCTGGTGAAAAAAGGGGGAAAATCACTCCTCGATGCAATTTGGAAGAAACTTTCAAAGTTTTGAAAAAGTTCACAATGTTTTTGGTTGTTATGCAAAGTTTTCCAGACCTGGTTATTCCATTTCACATGTGCGTAGCGTTAGGTCAAAGCATGTTGAACTAGTGTTTTGTACGGTTTAGAAATCTATCCCCACTTTTCCCATATCATTTCTACCTCTGATACCAATTTTTCTGTTAAAGAAGTAATGCCCTGGAGTGTATCTTCTTCATTAATTGAGGTATACCTGTATAATTGAGGTATACCTGCCTTCCTTGAGCCATGAAACAGATAGTTTTGGTGCTGCTTTCTGGAAATGGCTCCCTTTCCGATATCTTGCCTGAAGGGCAGGTGACTAATAATCCATCACCAGACATCAGTGGCTATGAGATCTCAGTTCTTGCCAGCTCAAACTTGGATCCTCTTTGCTTAGCAGTTTGTGCTTCCATAGCATGGGGGTTGGTCCAGTGTCATTTCAGTGGGTGGGAAATTCTCAAGCTTTTTCTCTCATGTAAGATTTTTCATGTGTCACACAGCTCACTCTGCCACTTGTCACAGCCCATCTGAAGACTCTAGGGAATCGGGTTATTTTGTCACTGTCTAACATATTATAGTCTTATTTTGTGAACTTATTTTGTTATCCCTATAACATATGTGCATGGTTGAAGTCACTCCAGCATCTAAATCATACGTTAAATGCTGAAGGACAAATTTGAAATCTCCCAATTACTAGGGACTCGGGGCTTGGCCCCATGTAAGCTGCCCCAAGTCCCTTCGGGGAGATGGAGGCAAGGTATAATAATAAAGTTGTTGTTGTTATTATTCTTATTATTATTATTATTATTGTGGTTGAAGACAATAATCTTGTGTTTTCACTGGCAGCTTCCTCAAGATCCTTGAAGTTACTAAAGAACTCTCCCAGTAATGAATGGAACACGGATACAGCCAAAGGAAATGAACTGGATTCGGATGACTGCAGCCTGAGCAGCAGTACTCCAAGCAGCAGCTGCCATACCACTGACAGCCTCCTGGAATCAAAAAGTTCCTCCCCTGTGAAGCACCTTCAGAACTGTGCCTCCGATTTCTCAGGCAGCCCTGTCAAAGAATCTGACATTTTAAGTGATGAGGAGGATGACTATCAGCAGATTGTAAAGAAAGGCAGCCCCACAAAAGACATAGAAATCCAGTTCCAGCGACTTCAGATTTCTGAGAATGCAAGCCATGATGCCGAGGAAAAGTATTCTTCGGAGAAAGAGAGTATGGATGAACAGAAGGGAGGAGAGCATCCTAAACTAGTGCGTGCACACTTTTGCCCCATTAAGCGCAAGGCAAACAGTATAAGGCAGGATAAAGGGATGTTACTGGCAATGCAAGAAAGGCATCAGTCTCTTGACACTCATCCTGATGCTGGAAGTTTTGACTTGAATTCTATTTTAGAAAGGGAATTTAGTGTACAAAGTTTAACCTCGGTGGTTAACGAGGATTGTTTTTATGAAACCGTAGATAGGCATGGGAAGTCCTAGTTTCCTGAACGCTGGTGTTTCCCCCATCCCACAAGATTTTATTTACCAGTACATATTTTTCCTCAAACAGCTGGTTGTTATAAATAAGAACTGTTAGCTCTTCCATTTAATGCACTACTGTGTTTTCCCACAGAATTAGTTGTAAAGGCTTAAGTTATTTTAATTTATTACAGAATAGACAAATTAGATTGAGGTGCCCTGTAAATTAATTCTGTAAATTAATCTATAGCTTTTGACAAAAGTCAGATTACATTTTTAAAATTATGAAAAAGGGGGATAAAACAGTATGATCTACATCATTTGACAAGAATGCAAACAGCTTTGTTTGACCATTTAAGTTTCAGTTAAATTTTGCTTTATTTAAAGCAGAATTAAGTTATTTTTATTCATTACAGAAAAAATAATGTTGCACTATGATGTAATATGTTGTTTATACTTGATTTATATATATGTAAATATGGAAGTCTGTACTGTAATCTTGTATTTTTATTTTCTCTACAAGTTTGTACAGTAAAATGTTCAATGATGTAGACATAGTCTCTGTATCACATTTATTTTTCTGAAGTTTTGAATTCTGTATTTTGGCTTCCAGGGCATTTTAATCTTTTTCTATCACTTGATTGTACTTGGAATCATTTATGCAGGAGCACACTACGTCTTCCTTCTGTCAATTTCACATAACCTTTAGAGTCAAAAAGTCTTCAGAAAATTTCACTTCAGTCAACAAAATCAATTTTACTTCTTGGCTGACTTTTTTTAGAGAATTGACTATATCCAGTCATCATCTGATGTCCTTTTAAAGTTCCGCTTTTTTCTTCTTTTCTCTCGTAGTTCCTCTCTATAATTATATGCAAAAAGACTTGGGTCTTCATCACACATTTTCCTATAGACATCACAAAGATTTTTAAAATGAAACATGGAAAGCTGAGCTGGGCGTAGAGTTGGATCAACATCTGCCAACATGAGCATTTGTTCCGCTTTTTCTAAACGTGTGGCTTCTGGAAATAAAATTCTGAAAGATAATAGTGGACATGATAAGCAAGGGAAACTGTAAGAAAGGATTAACTAACATTGTTTCAATTTACTTCAATGCCACAATTAGTTAATTCACTGTTGCCACTACTAATCAATTGCAATAAAATGACCATAGACTCTCATTATATGATGCTTGCAAGAAAAATATGATCCATTACTTTCTAATATAAGGACACTATTACAATGCACATCTTTTCTCCAAATTTCTAATTATAGCTAACAGAGTGCATTGTAAGTAAGTTCCCCATTGCTGCCAAAAGGCTATCCGCCTACCCGCCCGTTTTCGGGAGGCACACGAAAATGGATACAGGGGGTCTACCAGAATTCAGCCAGCAGAAACAGATCAAAGTTCAGCCAAAATGCAAAAGCCTAACTTGTACTACATTTGGATAGTACTGCTGAGTCTGGAGATGTGTAAATGAGTCAAGGGTGCTTCACTGTGTTTAAGCTGTAGCTTAGAGAACATGGTAGTGGCAAGGCTCTGGAAATGTCAAACCAGTATAAGAAGTAGGGCAAGAGCTTGGGACAGAAACAAGCAGCCTTTGAAGGCAATGTCAGAGGGTCTACATATGTAAAGTTACATACATGATTATAATGACTGACTCTTCAACAGGAGATTATTTTATTCAGTTACATCTACCTTTTCTCCAGTATCTGGAACTCAAAGTGACTTGAAAAGATGGCATAGAGTTCCTTATCACACGCTAAAAGTTCTCAGGGAAGTGCACTGGAACTATTTCGGGAGGCGGAGAACTCTGCTTTGAAAGTGGAAGAAATGCCTGCTTACAAAAAGGGCTGCTCATGGGAGTGACTCATGAACAAGGGCTTCCTCTCAGGTAAACTGCAACTGAATCCTGACTGTAGATCTAGAAAGTCAGACTTACTAGCCTTAGTCTTAAGCCGAGTTACTGAGGCTCTAGTTTCATAGGCTGTTGGTATATTCCTCAACTGTAACGCACACTTTAAAAGCAAGTTTTCTGTGAAGGTGGAAGCTATTTCCTAGCACAGCTACTACAGGGTGACAGGAGAAAACAGAAAAAAGGGATACTGTCAAGAAATGAAACTGTCCTACTGGCTCACACATTGTTTGAGAGACAGTTTTCTGTCCTGATGGCAGTATCTTTCTCTGCCTCCCACTATTCTTGCTGCTCTGCACTTCCACTAGAAAAATGTGTTATGCTGGGAGTAATGGACTGTTACACTAATCATAGGTCACGAGCACATAGGACATTTAATACTGTTTTAATTTAATAAGTACACTTATTTGGACTCCCAAAGTAGCTAGGCTACTTGCATGGCTCAGTGTAGCTCATGAGTTCCATACGTAGAATGACCCAATGCTGATCTATCATCCCCTCAACCTACCATATTGCTCCAGAAATCCTCTCTCATGGCCATGTATGTCTGGAGAATTGTAGTGGGAGAAAGAAGTATTTGGCTATGTCCCAGCTTACAGTGACATCTGCCAGGGTTGTTTGGAAATCTGTCTACTGTAAACATTTTGTGTTCAGCTGAGGAGACACAGGCCTTGGTTGGGGGGCTTCAGAGGCTCTCTGATAAATTTGGGGGGGGGGCGTCACTTTGGTCACTGCAGGGGAAGAGATATCATCTTCCCCTTGATAAGTTTTGGTATTGACAATTACTAGTTATGTGGTGTGATTTTGGAAAGAGGAGTATCAATACATTATGTATATGTATAAGTGCCCAAAAGAAATGTGAAGGCCATTATTATTTTCTTTCTAATTTTAAAAAATAACTATTTTTCTTTTATTTCTTTTGTTTTTCATTTGTTCAAATCTGAGAAAACTTATCTCCCTCCCCCCCTTTATCATACACACAAAGTTAAAGATCCAAAAACCAGGCGACGAGAGTGATTGCTCTCGTGAAACTCTCTTATAGTACCGAAGCAACAAGGATGTCAGGAGGGGAGAGGCTGACTACCCACAAAAGATTACTACTACCACATCTGCTCTTGATTATTTAATATAGTTTTCTGTGGGCGAGCAGATGGCAACTAATGGATAGCACATGCTCTGTATCAGAAACTAAAGCTGATGTGATCTATCCAATGCAATTTTCTGAATCAACATCCCAATAACCACACCAAATCTAAGACCCGTCGCAAACTAGGCTCCTGCGGGAGCAAACCTTGCCAGCACGTCCCTGACGTCATGAGACTCCGCCTCTCGCCCGCCTCTTTCTCCGTGCCAGAGTGGTTTTTCCTTTGCTAGGGCAGCATTGCCAGCGTATTCTCTCAGTTGAATTCTGCCAACTGAGAGAGTACGCTGGCAATGCTGCCCTAGCAAAGGAAAAACCACTCTGGCACGGAGAAAGAGGCTGAGAAAGGGGCGGGGCGAGAGGCGGAGTCTCATGACGTCAGGGACGTGCTGGCAAGGTTTGCTCCCGCAGGAGCCCAGTTTGCAACGGGTCTAAAGTTCACCAAAAACTGATCTGTAACCCTTTTGGTATTAATGTTGGAGAGTGATCCCTGGTCCAAGTGGTCCTGGTCAAAAAAAGGTTGGGAACCACTGTTTTAATGAGTGTACTAAAGTTCAGATTAATCAGTAGACTTAAGCCATAATTTATATAGAGGAGGAAGATCTCTTACCGTATACCATGGTGACAGTATTTTCTTCTGAACTGAAAAACACTTTGAACAACTTTTTCCACCAGTTTAAATGGCTGTTCAATCTTTGGTTGCACTAGTGGTGTAAAATGAACAACAGTCACATCTACCTGCAAATGAAGATTTAATAAAAAAAATGCTTAAGAAAAGGATCTGTGAATCTAAAGTAAACTTGTGGTCAGATATTATTTGTTTATGGATTTCTAATTAAAGTATAACTTAAATGTAGTAAATGTGATTCCATCTATCTGAAAAACAACCTTAGTACATAGATCCCTTGCCGTATCATCATGTAAAGTATGCTTTCAGATAATTATGGAAACATCCATGTCAAAGGTTGCTACTGAAGGCACAGAATAAAATGCCTCTTGTCTTCTTTCTTTTTCCACACACCATGGATACCAATGTGTTTTAGGTACTATAGGACTTTACATTGAAAGTGTTCAAGTTCCAGTTACACATAAAACCTTGAAATAATTGCATTTATCTCAATCAAGCTATTGTGAATTCACGTTAATAAAGAATCTAGTACTTGCAAGAGTCACCTTAGAGGCCCTCTTATACTTTTCACCATATTGCACAATCCAGAAAGATATGTATCTAAACCCCACTGAACCCAATTCTTAAAAATCCCATTCCCATTTATTTCAGTGGGGTTCAAGCTGATGTAATTCCTCTAAATTTGACCCAGTTTTGCATGATATGCTCATCCTACATGAATCAAATAGGATCTATTTTAGGAATTCTCCCAGAATGGATTGTTTTCATACAGATAGCAGTAAAATAAACAGCATCATTCTTTGTAAGTAGGGCAAAAATTTAAAGTATATCTTATGCTTTTAGCATCCTTCTCTTCTAGTGCTTCAAGAATGAAATCAGATTTCACAGAAATTTATAAGTATGTGTATTATTGCAGAAGATCAGTGCTATTGAATAGAGGAATTAATTCTTGGCTTCTAACAGGAACCTTGCGCAGTACAGTGCCAGAATATATCACTGGTTATGCCACAATCAGAGAACTATGGCAAAAAGGGATGCAAAAACTCCTAAGTGTTGAAACTGTCATTGAAAATGATTTGTTGAATTGTCTCTCTAGATCTGGTAGTTATTTTCTGGCAACATTCTTCTAATAATTTGTAACAAGCCTCCCAAGAATGGGAAATACTCTGGCTAGCCGAAAGTAGTTTTGGATCCAATCAAGCATAATAAATGTTCGTATAAAGTAAGTAACAGATGAGCATTCATAATATATTGTAGAGGAAAATATCACAGTCTCAATGCTACACTTGGATATTTACATCCTATGGAAACACAAAAGACATCTCATCATTCACGCCATTATAGGCTTGATTTCACAGAAGTAGGAAAGCTGTTGTGTTGCTATAGGAACAGATACATGACAATATTGTTCACTTGTAATTGGATGATTGGAAATTACTGACATTATATCTTATTTCTTACTGATACATATTAACAAGCTGGGGCAAAAAAAGAAAAGAAAAGAAAACCAAATGAATGTATGCTTAGAAAACTGAAAATGAGACAAACTTTTTGCTGGTATTTTTTAGGGGAAAATACCCCTACAAATGCAATGTATAACTTTGTCTAGACACACTTCCTTACCCTCTGCCACATCGACTGCCCAAGAACAATGGAATTCTACTACGTAGTATAATCAGTACATCAGAAACATGCCATTAAGTCTAGATTTTCCCTGGGATGGTAAAAAAAACCTTCTGTACAAAAAGATCCAAAAAAGCACAGAAAGAAAACAACCTGAAACTATATAAAGCACACCATATATGCTGCTTTGAGCTTCTTGGAAGAGGAGGGGGGGGGATTAAAAGTCCAAATCGGAAAGCATGATTCTAACCCTTCAGTTCTGCTCCTTCTCAGCTATTTCAAAATCACCTACAATTTTAAAGAACCTCTTTCATTCTTCCATATGAACAGTGGGATGGCAACAAAGTAGCACTGCTCATACGTTGTAATCTTTCAAAAATGCTTTTGATTTAATTTGCTTTTTTGTATTGAACCTTTTGCAAGCTATCTTGAGAACCCTTTGAAAACTGGCAAAAACCTAACTGTCCAAAGTTTGATGCTTTTGTGCTTCTAGAACTGCTGTTTGAATTCTACCTATTGGTATATGTGAACCTTCCCTTATACACACACCATCTTACTCCTACACTGCAACAACTGCAAGCACAATGGCCTGCTGTATTTTATGGCTGTGAAAGAGCTGCAGATTACTATTTGAGATGTTCCACCAAAATGGGCATAAACAAGAATCCAATGACAATGCTTGCCTGAATCTCAGTTTTCTGTCTCTCCCCAGTCCACTGCCCAAACTCTCCAGGTCTTCACCCTATGAAATGTAGATAACACCCACCTCCCACCCCAAAATCGGTGGTCTTCTGTTTAGAGGAAGAACAGGAAATGCATGGACCTGCAGATGTTGGAAAGCAACTCCCATCATCTTCCAATATCTCATCAACATCTGGAGGGCCCACATTCCTTCATCCCTCGTTCACTGGACGCTGAACCTAGCATTTCCTTAAACAGGACAGAAGTGCATGAAAGTTTGATGTGCAATGTCAACATTATGATAGATTTCCAGTGTTTTTATTACTATAACCGATCACTCATGGCCAAGTATAATTGTCTCCCAAGGGTAGAATGACTGTGGAGACCTATTCCAGATCCACATGGTCTGTCACAATGAGGACATAGGTTTCTAGGATGTCGGTCATAACAAAGGCTTCCTTCCAGTAATTCCAGTGTTAATTACTCTGTCGATTTAACATTCACCCCAAAGCTGAAAACAATTGACAGCTTGAAGGAAATGCCCCAATCCTATAAATGCTTACTCCTTAACAAAATCACTCTGAAAGCAAACAATGTCCCAAATAAACACAGGGCTGCAGTCTTCTTCAATCATATGGAAATCATCAGTCAGTAATCATAAACACAAGCTGTTGCTTTTATCATAAGCAAGAGAAAAATGGGATTATCTGTTATGGATACTGAGTGCCTCCAGAGATCCAAGCCAGAGAATCGCCAGTGTCTGGAAGCACCAAGTCCAACTACCAAGCTATCAAGGACTGTAGAAATCAAGCATAACCCTGTGTTAAGATGCCGAGTGCATCTCAACAGCACTTTCCTGAAAAGAACATAGTAGTTATTTCAAAGCTGCAAGTAAAAAAAACTATAGCACTATCAAATACCGTGTGTTGCAAACCAGTAATCTGCTCCTTTCCACGTGCCAAGGAAAATCAGACAACAGAGGAAAACACATATTTATCTTGGTGCATGATCAGCATGTTTCTCTTCTCATTTTGTTTGCTATATACCCTGTGACATCCCTCGCATAAGCTTCATCAGAAAGGCTTGCTACCTTTTTTTGCTTTATGGTCTTTAGGGAAAGACAAGTCATTACAGAAAGAAGTAGAGAAGGCTGCAAGCTGCCACTAGCAGGTATGCAAGCATTTATTACATAAAATAGGTTACGGACCTTATAGTCTTATGGTGGAGGATGTGGGGTGACTGCTTTGCAACTATCTTATTTCTTATCATCAGCTGAACCACAGCTTACTCTAAAAAGTTGTGTTTTCCAATAACTTTCAAAATCAGTTTAATTAGAAGGGGAAAAGTAAGTTTGGGTTTTTTAAAAAAATATACATATGTTCTAAATTTCTCCAGATCCCCAAGATTTCCAAGTTATTATGAAACATTCATCATGATATCTGGAAATCATTATGCTTTTTGGACTAAGGGTTCACACATGTTTCCTTCATAATCTCTAAGCTTTTATTCCCTACTCAAAAGTATTTTCTCCAATGCAGAGTCATTTACACAAAGTCATTCTTTATTCCCTGGTAGATGGTAGTGAGACAGGGAACCGGCAGCACTGCTGTGCTCATAATACCAGAGAGCTATTTTTGTTTAATAAAAAAAAAGCAAATGCAATTTTTTACGGGGACTAGAGATCTTTACTTTCAAAGAGGTTGCGTTCCTACTATTTCCCCTGCCAAGAAACCATCTTGGAGCTCTAATTCAAAGGTAAGCACTGAACTTAATAATTGATTCTTACATTACAGCTGATGTTTAAAATGTTTTGACTTGAATAACATTTCACTGGGATTTTAATGTAGTGTGCTCCTAATTCGTTGGGATAGAAGCTACCATGATTGTTTTCAGAAGCCTAATTTTTAAAGCTACTGACTTTAAAACTTAAAAACTGAAATAGCATCAGTGATAGATTAATGAGGTAGACAGTACCACCCAGGGACAGCTCCCATTATTTCCCTTCTCAGTCTTGGAGATGGATCGAGAGTAAACATATGCACCTGCTCTGGAACGGATCCAAGCATTCATGCCCCATTGGTTCCTTAGAAATACAGACTGAGCGATGTTAACCCTTTAACTTTAGCAGATTTTCAAAAATGGTGCATGAATTCCAGTTACATGGAACATGATCAAGCAAGTTTTCAGGGAGCACAAAAGGACAGAAAGGATCTTGTAGACTCCTGCTTTAGCCTGACTTATTTCTCAAATAATGTATCCCTCTGCATGATGACCATCCATCACATATAAAGGAAATAAATACCTATGTTGAACTACAACTGCCAACATTTTCAATTAGCATGTTTGTTTTGGGATGATGGGAGCAGGAAAACAACACTCACAACATGTGCTAGTTCGGAGTACGCTGCTTTAATAGACAGAACAAGACCACTGTTTTTGAATTCAAGCTTTCTTCACTATATAAAAGGAAATAAGGTGAAACAGCTTCCAACATTACTAGCATTTTAAAAGATTTGTTTGTCAAATAAATCCCAGGTTCCTAAATTTGTCATCAGCGACTTCAAAAGCTTGGATACCAATTTTTCAAAGCTTGAATTTTGGGAAGAAGGCTCCAGCCAAGCATTCAACATAGTAGTCCAGATAATATTTAAGGTCAGCATGAAAAAGTCACCTTTTGCCCTGCCTATCCCATGTTGGTCTCCCCTGAATCAAGGTGCCAAGGCAGATTTCCAGCTGCACAGAAATCTTAATACAGGCGTGGCTAATGAATGCTCTCATTGCTATGTAGCCTCTGTTAAAGGAGAGGAAAATAGCCCAAGTTATGGACCACAAGGGGCAAATGTTGACACACCCCTGCAATAATGGTGTCAAATAAAGAATTCAGAAAAGAGACAGAACAGGGTTGTTGTCTAACAGTAATACGAGTTGTTAGAGCGGGTGCACAGGGAAGTGAGCAAGGTGAGTTCTGAAAGTTATAAATATGCTTATTTTTTAAATCATTGCATAGAAAGTAAATAGTATTTGAACTATGTATTGTCGAAGGCTTTCATGGCCAGAATCACTGGGTTGCTGTAGGTTTTTTCAGGCTGTATGGCCATGGTCTTAGAGGCATTCTCTCCTGACGTTTCGCCTGCATCTATGGCAAGCATCCTCAGAGGTAGTGAGGTCTGTTGGAAACCCTTTTCCCTAGTTCCAACAGACCTCACTACCTCTGAGGATGCTTGCCATAGATGTAGGCGAAACGTCAGGAGAGAATGCCTCTAGACCATGACCATACAGCCCGAAAAAACCTACAACAACCTAGTATTTGAACTCATTTAATCAAAGGATGAGAAAATAAAAAACTGAAATATCTTCTACAGCAGTATCACTCTAAATGTGTATTTACACTGTAGAAAAAATAATGCTGTTGATACAATTTTAATCACCATGGCTCAATGCTATGGAATCATGGGAGCTGTACTTTGGTGCTAGTGCCTCATCAAACTACAAGTCCCATGATTACATAGCATTTAGCTATGGTGATTAAAATGGTGTCAAACCGTATTTCAGTTAGTTGATTTATTTTCTGCTTTTCTCCCTGCAGGTTTACAACAGAGTTGTATAACACACTGCTTCTTAAGCTGAGGCTCACAACCCCAAATGGGGTTCTCTGAGCTCAATGTTTAGGTCAGAAAAATCTGGCAACAGCGAAAGATTTTTGAATGCCACTTAGTAACAACATGCAATGTTTACAATGGACCCTGCAGAAAATGCTTCTGCTATACTCCACAAAAAGGGAAATCAGCCTGTTTATTAAGCCTTGCAAAGGCTGGTTTATTATTAGTAAATGTTTCATTTTTAAACCTATATACCTGGGATCACACAAAAAAATTCTCAGGTGGAAAGAGATAATGAATGGGAAACGTTTTAAAAACCCTGGTATAGTAGAGTCTTGCTCATCCAACCTTCACTCATCCAATGTTCTGTGTTATCCAATGCGTTCTGCCTCCTGCTTGGATCCACAGCTATTTCAATAAATTGTGATGTTTTGGTGCTAAATTCGTAAATACAGTAATTTAATTACTACATAACATTATTGTGTATTGAACTGCTTTTTAAGTTGATTTGTTGTAAAACATGTTTTAGTGCTTAATTTGTAAAATCATAACGTAATGTGACGTTAAATAGGCTTTTCCTTAATCCCTCCTTATCATCCAACGTTTTTGCTTATCCAACGTTCTGCTGGCCCATGGATGTTGGCTAAGCAAGACTCTACTGTATAATATACACCTACAGTTAAAACTCTGAAAATAAAAACAGAAAAATAAATAAGCTATCTTATTAGAAAACCACAATTTAAACAAATATAAACAAATCTTAAAATGTAACTGACTCATTAAAAAGCCCTTCTGAGCAAATCACATTGCCTTGTTAGTCTACTTTCTTTGCAAAAAAACATAAAGGTCCGGAGGTTGTATATCAACAAAATATGAATGTGAAAATAAGAATCTTTACCTAAAGATACATATTTTGTTGATGCAATACATCATTTGCAGAGAAGATTTTAAGTGCTTTTTAAAAACCACAAAATCTAGCTGAGCAAGTTTTAAAAGGGCTGTTTCAGCAGAGAAAGTTTTCATCTGTTTTCTATATCTTTGGGATCTAAGTTTCCTTGCACATAAAAATGCACAGCAAAAGAACTTATTAATTACTGGATTGCAAACGTTATGTTTAGACTTGTTTTTCAATAACATCTTCCAGTTCACAGGAGATGTTAGCTCACCTACCACTTAGATCTGATAATGCAAACCTCTCCAAGTTAAACACACATGTTGTAAAAAAATAATTAAATGTACATGCTTTAAAATTAAACTTTGCTAAATTCTGTTACTTTTATCATATTAGATCCAAAAAGTAAGCATAATCACACCAGCCCATTTGCCCACAATTGCGTATTGATTGCTGGTAAGCCTTCCAAATACAAAACATGTGATGTTACTACTGATTTTGAAGAAGTATTGAACCTTGCTCCAACTTAGCAAACCTAAGAAAAGATAGCATGCTTGGAGAAGGGGAGTGTGTCCACAAAATGTGTGAGAGGGAAATCTTAACAGAGTTTCTCCAAACCTTTCTTACACTGTACTTCCACGTAATATGCTGGCCAAACTCCAAACTCACAATTTTAACCATTCTGCCATAATGATATTTTACTAAATATATGGCACTATTATGAACTTTGGAGTGTTAATAAACGCCACCAAGATTACAGTAGAAGCTGGGCTCACATTTAGAATGAATGACTATCACAGGACGTAATATTTTAGGATTAACAAGGAATTAGATAAGGATTCCATAGGTAAAGTCTTAAAACTTGCCCCCCTTCTAAATCTAAGTTTTCTGAACGAGAATAAAAAGGAATTATAATGTATTATAAGAAGATGTTTCTGGAGTCTTGGTACAAGAATTTTGCCTATTAAATACAATGAGATGATTATGATTCTATGATTTTTGTAAAAACATTGGACTAGTGTTGTCAAAGGCTTTCATGGCTAGAATCATTGGGTTGCTGTGAGTTTTCTGGGCTGTATGGCCATGTTTCAGAAACATTCTCTTCTGATGTTTCATCCACATCTATGCCAGACACCCTCAGAGCTTGTGAGGACTGTTGAAAAGTAGGCAAGAGAGGTTTACATATCTGGAATGTTCAGGGTGGTAGAAAGAACTAATGTCTGCTTTAGGCAAGTACAAATACTGCAATTGGCCACCTTGATTAGCATTGAATGGCCTTGCAGCTTCAAAGTCTGGCTGCTTCCTGCCCAGAAAACTCACAGCAACCCACATTGAACTAGAGTTGGAAGAGACCACATGGGCTATCTAGCCCAACCTCCTGCCATGCAGAAAAAGCACAATCAAAGAATGCTAGATGCTAGTCCAGTTTGTAAGAGCACTATTCAGCTAAAGTTCAGCACATTTCTTATATCTGAGTATTAAGTATAACCGTAACTGTCCTATTTAAAGTTAATAGTACTTAAATGTGCTTAACATTAGGTGAGCCATACCCAAATCTTCAGTTTGACTTGTTCCCAGTATTCAAGGAAAGCTGATCAAAGCAAATTGAGTACCAAAAATACAGGAAATTTGATTTGAAGAGTTGTCTGCCCAGTACAGAAGGCTGACTCTTCCTATAACAGTAGTAAGCTATCCAGGGTCTTTGTAAAATAAAGAAGACATGTTGAGTAACCAGTGAAAAATGAAAATAGGAAAAGATTATGCTATACTTCAACAAAACAAACATTTCTTATAAGAATTTAAATAAAATATAATCATACAAATCACCTTTTCATTAACTGTAGAATTGAATGTGAAAGATTGTTTCTGCAACTACAATGAGATACTTAAAAAAACTTTTTACTGCGTTATGTTACCAAACTACATTAAGACGCCTCCACTGTTTGCTGAAAGCAAGAATTGCTTAATGTTGTATTTCTTTCCTTTTTAGCATCTGCATTATTTTATTGCCTTGCCTTAACATTGCAAATGAGCAGGGTTTTTGCACTGTGGATTATTGGAAGGGCTTCTCCTTGCGCTCAGTTGCTCACACACTGTTCATTTGTAATAATTTCTGTTCAAGTGCCCTGTGTACAGCTGCTCCGTGCTTTTGTAGCCTTCTCATCTGCTGAAGGGTCACGTCCAGTCATTCATTCAGATAGCCAGGATTTTAAATGCAAGCTCTTGTTTGTTCACTTCTCTTTCCTTTGGCCCTGTCACTCTGTCCCCTCCCCCTCCAATCGCATACAGGCAGCTACAGCCTTGGCTGGGGAGCTATCAGACAGTTACACACGTTTACAACAACAGGAGAGAACCAGGCAGACAAAAGGTGACTGCAAATCGCATCATGGCATCAGGAGCTCTGCAATTCTTCGCATTCGTCCTCGCCTTGTTTGGTGTGTTTGGCGCAATCACAGCCACCTTACTGCCCAACTGGAAAGTGAGCGCAGACATGGGTTCAAACATCATCACAGCCATAACTCAGATGCAAGGGCTCTGGATGGACTGCACATGGTACAGCACTGGGATGTTTAGCTGCACACTGAAATACTCCATTCTTTCTCTCCCTGTTTACATCCAAGCGGCACGGACCACCATGGTTTTGTCTTGTATTCTCTCCTCTTTTGGGATCTGCCTTGCCACAGTTGGGATGAAGTGCACCCGGCTTGGAGGGAACAGAGACACCAAAAGCCACACTTCATTTGCAGGAGGAGTCTTCTTTATCCTCGCAGGAATATTTGGCTTGATACCAACAGCCTGGTACACCAGAGAGATCATTTCAAATTTCCTGGACCCAAACATCCCAGAAAGCAATAAACATGAACCAGGAGGAGCAGTTTACATCGGATTCATTTCAGCAGGACTTCTGCTTGCTGCAGGTGCCATCTTTGGCACTTCCTGTTTGAGAAAACAGCAGAGGGCCTGGATTTACCCCAACAAACCACAGCAACCCTTCCCAGGAGCTCAGCAAGAAAACACATCAGGTTACAACCTGAAGGACTATGTGTAAATACAGTTGGGGAGGGGGGACAGATCTGTTTATTGTATTTTTGTTGTGATTTTAAATAACAACAATTTTCTCTTCTCAATGTGTGGCATGTCATTCAATTTTGACAAAGTATCTTTTTCAGCTATCAAAAAAGTAACATATTGCTGACATTGCTTTGCAACTGAATTTTAGTAGAAAAGAACAAAAGGAAGAGTACAAATGTTTGTTTTTACATAAGAATATCATATCTGCAATGTGCCACTTTAATATGACACCACCTAAATCTACTCTATGGGTCTGTTTTAAAAGTATGGCATCATCTTTCAGTGTCAATTTTAATTTCTAATTGCTATGGTCAAACTATGTTGCTTCATTAATAAAACAAACAAACCCACCCCCAATATGATTACATTGCACATGCTAAAAAGACACTGCCATTCAGTTGTTGACAAACTTAACATAACCACCAACACCGCATGGGCACCTGAAGAAGGTTCCCTTTTATTTCAAAATAATCGTCTACTTAGCAGTCTGTTGCTGATTTAAAGTTATGTGCCACATCAAGGCTAAGAATCAGGCAGGGCATTCATAATATACTTATAATTGAAGTAAAGGTTTTGATCCTCCAAGTTAAATATTTAAAACTGTTAAGTACTTCCTTTCCTAGATTCTATCTACACAACATGACTACTACTTCTATAAGTAGATTTAGCAAACTAAAATCCTGTTGTTACAGACAACTGTTCAGTTCTTGAGTACAGGTTTAATCTGCCCATCACAACACAAACCAATGCAAACTATTTATAAGACACTCTTGGATCAAGCCCCAAAGTTTCTGGCAGTCTGCCCCAGAGTCCATGCAGGTGATAGCAACGCAGTTTGTAATTATATTGCCAGCATGATTCAGTTGGTTAACTTGCCTTGATACTCAGAACCTTCGTTTTAACATGCTGAAATTATTATTATTCACTGTTTGAAACCTTTCATTTCCATTCAAAAAGAGATGCAGGATTAGAATTTTTAGTAGGAACACAATGATGAAAAAGCTTTAACCAAGAAGCACCTGGGACAGTATCCTAAATGCATATGCACTGATTTTTCTATTGACAATAAAACACAAAATAAGTTGGGCATACATAATATATGTTTTGGAGGGAAGAGGCTTTTTTTATATCTGTTTTACAGAACTAGAAACCTAGATCACCCAGTAAAATAGAACTGAGGAAGGTTCAGTGAACAAAAACTATAAAACAAGGAGTAACATGGCGAGCACTTAAAAGGAAATGATGTTATATGCACCTTAAAAGGAAGTTATGCATACGATTACCAATGGCTACGAGTCATGGTGGCTATATGCTCCCTTCAAAAATACAGGCAGTACCACAGTTACGGAGGAGCACTATTTTAAAAGGCCTTCCTTCTTGGCCTCATTCTCAGCCACTAGGAGTCCAATGGGCCACTGCAAGAAACAGAATGATGGCTTAGGTTGGGTCTTTGAGCTGATCCAGGAGGTCTTCTATCCTCTCCACCACATGTGCAACTGGATTTTAGCAATCAAGGAATCTGCTTTTTTTTACACCCAAAAATAACTGTGGCCTTTCAGATATTATTAAACAGAAACTCCTATTATTCTTTACTCTTGGCTATGCTGGCTACAGTTGATGGGATTTATAGGAGAAATACATACAGAAAATGACAGCTGCCACCCTACCATCCAGATTAATGGACCACACTTGCCTAGGATCGAATCCAGACCAAAAGAGAGGGGAAAAAAACAAGTTAAGTATCCTGCAGTGAAGAATATACATCCTCATGAGTGTGCAATCTAATGCTTCTTCTGAAGCTGCTTTTGGGGATAATTTTGTCTAGAATATGACTATCATATTCTTCACAATTCCTCAAAATCCCAAAACCTTACTAGACCTCAAAATTAATAATTACATTATGGAAGAACATAGAAAACAGAACCAACATTTGAGCATGCATAACATTTGTTAGCAGCCTCTAAACAAATTATGCATTGGCCATTCTATGTTTTTTGGAAACATTGAGTTAATAAAAAATAGTTTAAAGAATTTGCCAGAAATTGAAGATGTAATCATTTTGAAGGGGTCTGGCAACCTTATACTAGGACAGAATCATAAAAGCTGAAATTTCACCAGACTTCACTTTAAAAAAAAAGCAAAAATCCCAACACATTCACAAAGGTATAGCACAGAAAGAAGACACCCAGTGACTGCTGCCAACAAAGCCATGTCAGAGGAAAAGAAATACCACATGCAGAGAGACAGAGAAGGAGAACCATCACTGACAGCACTGAATACCTTCCCTAGAGGCATGTACTGCTGCCATAGCTTTCACACACAAGGACAGATCCAGTACAAAGAAGGCGGAAAAAATGGAATGAGCATGTAGCACGAGTTATACGTATACAAGAATGCAAGCACACAAAACTATTACCAATGGTATCATTTCTAAATCAAAACAGATCTGCAAGAAAAGCAACAACTCAATTTCTGGCACAAGCCAACAGTGGCACACGTCAACGGCATGTAGTACATGGCTCAGTATGCCAGGACATCAGCCTGGTTCATCCCCTTTTCTCCTTCCCTACAAACCCAATATGGTTCCCCACCATAAGGTAAAATAAAAGTATCACTAGGTTGCTAAAAAAGGAACATTTGAATAGCACACAAAGGACACTCTCACATGGCCCACTAACTGATAATTAAGAATGAAAAAGTTTCCCCTGTAACTTTTTCTGAAGTTAATCCATAAGCACTTAGAATAAAGAAAGGACAAATTGTATATACAGAAAGAACAAGTTTATATTGAGAGTGGGTTGTGGAACCCACCAGATGTTATTGGACCCTGCATGTGTCAAGGCCAATAGATAGGCAGGATCCCTATCCCTATTTTATGTACTGGTTTTCTTTGAAGAAGGAATAATCTTACAATGCTGAACAAGCCATTACTATGCATTTATAGCCCTAGACAATCAACCCTGGCTGACAACCCTATGGAATTGATTAGGCTGAGATTTAATAACTTTCCCAGAGCCTCCAACTGAGTATGAAAACTGATCTGGGTGTCCCACAATTCAATAAACATCATTTAATGCAATTGTCCTATATATAACTCTATCACAATTCTACTTCAGTTAAAAGGTATAAAGCATATGCAAAATGAGACATGGTACTTTCATTTAAAACCCGCTTAGAACTTTTAATTAAAAATAGTTTTTTAGCAATGAGTGAGGGAAAAAAACGGAACAAATGGAAACATATGATCTTAATTCGAACATATTCTTTACACTACAGAAAACACATCTAGTTATTTTAGTCACCTGCAAATCTGCTTAAACTGTGTGAAATATTTATTTGTTCTCTGCTTGGGCCAAGCATGACTTTCAAATATTTGAATATCAAATCAAAAGATAAAAGCAGGATAAAAATAGATATAATAATAATAATAATAAATCTGCATTCCTAGCTGGGTATTTATCATCTCTGTAAGTCTACGCTAAGATCACATGTTGAGTATAAATGGATGCTAATCTACTGGCAAAAACAGCTTCTGAGTTTACATTCTTTCTCTAGGCATTTGACTGTTATTTTACCAGCAGCCCTCAATGTATCAGTTAGCTATAAAAGGGATTGTGTATTATCAGCATTAACACCGGTAGTTTCAGAAATCCTACATAATTAATTCTGTCCTGGGAAATTTCCTCGCATAATAGAAATCACTTAATAAAAGAAGATTGCATGATAAGTGAATTGGGGAAGAGGAACCACTTGCAAGGCCATGACTGTCAAAATAATTTAATGGAAAATGTGTGCAATTAACGTCTGTTACCATATGCCTTCTGTTTTTTCTTGCCAGGAAAACCCTGTGGTAGGTTCACCTTAAGGTGACCATAAGAGAACTTGAAGGCACCACAACAATACATGTAAAGTACACCCATTGCAGAATATTTCATTACTCATTCAAGAGTACCATATACAAATGTAATATTATACATGTCAGTGAAAATATTCCCCTGTATGATCAATTTATTGATCCAACACCTTGCTTTTACTATAACAGACTTCCTCCATATCTTCATACATGCCATACTACAACTTCCAGGATCCCAATCTTATGGCTAAGGCTGGACAACTGGATTCAGTCAGGAAATTCATGGTTTATCTGAAAAGACTCAGGATCAAAGTCAGATATGGGATTCAGATTCAGACCTTCTTTATTGTCTTGTGAAGGTTAGGATTTTTCTCAAGCTACCAGCGGTGTTTACAAAAAAATAAAAAATCGACTAATATTTATAACATTATTAATGGGACCAATAGCAATTCTGCCCAAAGCACCGGTATACGGAAACAGCACAAACCAGGGACAGCAGCGTTTGAGAAATCTCAAACCTTTTTTGTAAGGAAGAGCTTTTCAAGCTGTCAACTCCTAAAAAGCTGTCAAACCCCAGACTGTTAAAAGAATAGGACAGTTGATACCAAGGTATGCTCCAAGAACGACTTTCAGTATTATCTGCACAGTTAGCCTCTGGGCTACTGTCCCACTGAGGCCAGATTCCTCATTGCAATTATCAGACTTTGAAAACACAGAAGCAGGGAACAAGACAAAGGAAAATGACCTTGAACAATCCAGTGCTTCTTTGAAGTGGCCTCTAGTCCTTAATCTAAGAATATAGAAACATCCCTGGGATCAGGTGACTTGGGCTGTTCATGGTCACACATAAAAGTCAATTCAAATTTAGAGGAAAAGGCCAACAAGTTTAGTTATTTTCTAGTTAACTGAATCAATTGTACAGAAGGAACTTGGAGCACACTTTCCCTGTTACAGGTGATACTACAATGACCACTAGCACTTCAAAAGGTTCCATCTGCAGTCAGCACCAAATAAACAAAAACTTCCTGACACATGGAGATACATTTGCTAACCACAACGGTGAACATTTAGGTAGTGCTTTATGAGCTAAAACACTTAAGAAAGAATACACAAAGCATCAGGTTTCACTATATCTGGAATTCTAACTAATCCATATTAAATGTTCACTGTCAACTTTAACATAGTGATACAATTTATTCAGAACTTTGTATCTTCCAATGCTATTAATTTATCTTCTAGAAACTTATGCTGGACAGTTTACAACTCTCTCTTTTTCAAATATTTCTACTTTTTAAAGCAGTTCAGTGTTTGATTGTTCCTTCAAAAATAAATGTTACTTTATTAATGAATGTACTTTTTAAAAAATCCTTTGAAATTTAGCTCATTTTTTTGCTAATCCTCCAGTGAAAGTCAAAGTTAATTCAGTCTCAGTCTCCACCTGTTTTTCATGTTGTTTCCTCTGTAAATTATTGAATAAAGCTTCAACTCCCGAAAGAAAGAAAAAAACTTACATCTGGTTTTGGAACAAAAGCTTTTCCTGAAATTGTGAAACACTTGTGAACCGTGCACAGGTACTGGGACATAATGGAAAGTCTGCTTCGTTGCCTGGTTCCTGTACTAGCTGTGAGTCTCTGCAGAAGATAGAAAAAAAATGAGTGAACTAATTCAGGGCAATAGTGTTTGATTTAGAAAATTTAAGAAGATTGAAGAACACTTTAAATCAACCTCTTAGCAGAAGAAAAATCATTTTTTTCTGTTTAATGCCTATTTGAGAGGAAAATTAATCTCACTCACAAGTAAAAACATTATGGATGCATCTGTTTTATTATTACTAATGGATCTCACATAGAGAATATTGTGACAATGAATTAAGCAACAAATGCTCTTTAAGAAACAGAAAGTACAACGAAATGTCACCGTGATCTTTAATTAGCTTTTTCTCAGCAAATGAGATCTCCTACTGTTGGAAGTAGTAGAGAAAAAGCCTAAATTGATTACCATTACGTGTTTCCTAGAAATATAGAGATCAACATAAGATATGTTTTGACGGAGTATCTTTAAACACATTCTTCACTGAACTTCCCAAAACAGTCAGCAGGATTTAGAAACATAGTATGACCCCCTTATTCACAATATCTATGGTTTCAGTTATCCATGTTCCAAAAATGCTCCCTCCCAGAAGTGTTTGTGGAACTCCCTAGGTCAGTGGCTCCCCAGGTGTTTTGGCCTACAACCCCCAGAAATCCCAGCCAGTTTACCATCCTGTTAGGATTTCTGGGAGTTGAAGACCAAATTATCTGGGGACCCACAGGTTGAGAACCACTGCCTTAGGTCCTCCAGCCCAAGAATAGTCAAAAATATAAGATTCACTATTATTTATGGTTTCATAGGGGAGGGATGTGTGACTTGAAACATATGACCCATGGATACTATACATTCAGAAGTTCTGTTTCTTATATAAAGGAAAGAAGCAAATGCTAAAGAACAATCCAGCAAATTTAAAATATTATTTTATTCCCTGGCAAGCAAGGAAAACCTGAAAATGATAAGATAGATTAAATGGAGAATAGCAGTTCAGGATGTAAAACATAGGGCACTAAACATCACGAAACTCCTAAGTTACATTAAATCCAAAAGGGGAATTGCCTGAGCTCCCTGGAGAGGCAACTTAAATAAGTATTTAACAAAATAAGAAGCAAAGTTTTTAGATACTAGAAAAATCTTAAAAGTAACTAGCAAAACCAAGTTCATGTTGTTATTGTATTTGTCTCCCTACATTTTATACTGATTCAAGTCAAATCAGTGAAGTAAAAGCAACTTCCTAGCCATGCTAGTTTGCATCTCATTTAACCTACATTACACACCGAAACACTATAATCTTCATGTCTCATGACAGGGCGAAAATGTGAAAGCATTTACAGCTGATAATAGCTGGATAAAGTACAGGCTACATTTCTGTTCTCAATTCCATTTCCTCCTAGTTGCCAACATACTGCTCTTCTTTATTTTCCACTGGTTTAAACTATGAAAGCATAATCCATTAGCCATATCACTAAAGTCAGAATAGCAGCTCACACTCTCAATTATTTTAGCAAACCGTCCAGAAGCTTTTACAGTGAAGACCATTTAGAGAGGAAAGGGGCTGATAAAAGGTGTCTGTTTTGTTTCATGGTTGAATGGTTGGGTCTGATGACTCTTACAATCTTGAACTTTCACCAATTTGCACCACATCCAGACACAGGACTAAAAATTAGTGGAATGGCATCATTTGCATATCTTTCTACATCTCATGGTTAGAACTGTTGAGGAACATGGTTTGTAGCTAAAAACACTGCAACTTTTAAGGGTTGGAAATATATATAAGTATGTATCTATATGTATTGTCGGGGATATGTAATGAGGGGATAGGTTTGTATCAAATATTTATTTATTTATTTATTACGGTTGCTTATACCCCGCCCTTCTCACCCGGGGGGACTCAGGGCGGCTTACACAAACAAGGCACAATTCGATGCCTGTATTACAAAAACATAACATCAACAACAACAAATAGCACTATCTCTGTATTTTTCTTTCTGCTTACTTGCATCTTGCTGCATTTTTCAGTGCCATTAAATGCATTCTACATTTCCAGATATATATTTATATATACATAATCCATTAGCCATGTCGCCAAGGTCAGAATAGCAGATCTCCTTCCCTCTCTCTATAAATCTAAAATATTTAATAAATTATTTTAAAAGTACTTAGTAGCATGATTTGTGACTATAAAACGCTAAAGCTGAAATCCTGCTGTGACATACACAAGCATAACTTGCCATTCTACATGTGTGAGTGCTTTTTAGGTGGCCACACAGGGAGATATTTACTAGTGCCTTGCACAATGCCCCTTTTCCAACACAACAAATCTTTTAAACATCAGGGCACACTGCCAGGCTAATTGGTGGTGAAGAGAGAGTAATGGCTGCCCAGATAGCACCTGGTTGTGGTTCCACAGTAAAAGAAAATGGCCCCTTCCCTGCTGTCCTTTTAAAGGAGGTTTTTAAGGTCATGTCAGAGGGTGCTGTGTTTTTAGCTATGAATAGGATTTTTATTTAGTTTTAAGGGTTTAAAATGGATTATTTTAATACCATTAATATTTAATTCTATTTCAATGTTTTTATGTTTTGGGAGGTTTAAGATTGTATTGTAGCAGTTTTACTGTAAGCCGCTTTGAGTCTCTTTTTTGTAGAAAAAAGTGGGATATAAATCATCATCATGATCATCATGCAAGAAGGCATTGCCTTGTCAGATCTACAGTGAACATACCAGATACAACCTAACTGCAGAACTGCACATACTTTCCTGTAATCCTCCATTTGTCACCAAACAGATCTAATGGAATAAAAATTGCCATGGGCTCAGTTAGCATTACATGTTACTGTTTCGTATTTTTGTACCGTTCCATCCATTCAGAGGGCACGGAACAATACAACCCCCTCGGAAAAAGAAACAAAAACAAAACAAAAAATGGGGGAACAATAGCCATTTTTCAGTTGATTTTCGGTGCGCCGGCTGTGGGCCCTGCCAGCTAGGGTCTATAGTAGAGCACCGGGCACTCGGATGTAGGCCCGGTGCTCATAGGTCCAGCTGGCAGGGTCTACAGCTGAACACTGGTGCCGAGCACTTGACACTGTGGGCTCGGCACTTGGCTGTAGGCCCTGCCAGTCGAGCCTACAGCCAAGTGCTGAGTGCTCAACACTCGTATGCCCAGCTGGCAGGGCCTACAGCTGAGTACTGGTGCTGAGCACTTGACACTGCAGGCTCGGCACTCGGCTGTAGGCCCTGCCAGCCGGGCCTACGAGTGCTGAGCACTCGGCGCTCATAGGTCCTGGCACTTTGCTGCCCAAGTTCCGAAAACTTTTGGTTTTATCGAACCTTGGACGGAAAAGCTCATTTGAATAGGCACTCTTTTTCGGAAGAAACAGAAGTAAACAGAAACGGGGCCATACAAATGGGACAAACCAAAATGGATAGAGATTTCATATGAATACACAAGGCTAATAAAAATGACATAAACATCACTTTTGCACTGGGAAAAAAACAGAGGAGGAGCTGACAACTTTTATTAATTCCTTATTATATTCATTTAATTTATATCCTTTTTTTCTTAATGAGACTCAGAATAGCTCACAATACACATTAAAGCAGAACACCTAAAATATAAAGCGAAGAAAAATAAAATAAAAATAAAATGAAACCAATTGCACAACAATGGGATAAATCAAACTTTTTTGGGGAGGAAGTTTCACAGCCTAGGAGAAGCTATTGAGAAGGCTCTCTCTCATGTCCCATGAGGGGATGGTGGGTTAGAGAAAGTTCTCCTCGAAAGACTGGAAGAATGTCATGCTCCTCTATGCCAGTAGTTCTCAACTTTGGTCCTCTTCTGGGAGTTGTTTTGCAATTCCCAGAAATCCCAGGCAGTTTATTAGTTGTTAGGAATTGTGAGAGCTGAAGCCCATAACACATGGAGGGCCAAAGCTTGGGAACCACTGTTCTAGGCTGATCTTACCAACAAAGTGAGATCACCAGAAGTGACTTGCAGTTTCACAAGTCACTCCTGACATTGAAAAAAAAACCCAACAAAGTACTACACAAGAAGAGTATTCTGGAACAGAGGTTAACTAGCTAATGGATACCCTGAAGTGAAAACCTTTAAACTGCAGAAGCCCTGCTTCTGAAAAATGTTTGAATGATATCTCTACTGATATGTGTTTTTCTTCAACCAACAATGTTTTTATTGACAGACACAAACATGCATGAATGTGAGTGGGTGAAAGTAACACAATAAAACACAAATACATAATGGAATCTTGCAGTCCCCCAGGGAGCTAGCCCATAATACCTGCAAGACACTAGCCCAGCAGAATATCTGATTCATTGCAAAAGAAGGTTCAGATTCAATTCTTTCCCGAAGTACCTCTTTTTCCATTTGAAAAGTTTTCTGAGAACTTATCCAGCAGCTATAGCATGTCAAAGGATTCATTCTACCATATTCTTGCACTCATAGGTTGTATCTACAGTGCACATTGTAGCAACAATTTGATATCACTTTAGCTGTCATCATTCCGGTTTAGGGAATATCAGGACTTTTAGATTTTTTTCCCTAGAGAACACTAGTGCTAGAAAAGAGATGAGTAGAACTCTCCAGTAGAAAAGTCTATATCACTGCACCAAAATATCTTAGAAAAGAGTGTTTGCCCACCACCCTCCATTAGATGCTGTTGTCATAATTTGGTGGGTATTTTGGTATGGGACAGTTAAGGTACCATTCCATAGGCACAACTGGAATGTCTGAAACTGGTGACTTAAATTTCCAGTCTGCTATCCAATGAAGATCCTTTGACACCCAAAGTCTCCCACTGACTGCCAACCAACATACATAGGTCTGGTTCTGGAAGCTTGCTAGGCTGCTTCAGTCCACTGCTGGGGTAAAACCTAGCCTGGCAGAAGATCAAAGAATGTGACCATGAAGGTTAAAGCAGAATTAAACTGATTTAATTAGGCAGTGCGGAAAAAAAACAACAGACTGACTCCACTACTCTGAGTTTTGTCAGTATTTGATAATTATGCTACTGATAGAGTCAGAAATCTATTATCCTTCATATAATGTTGTCGATAAAATGGCAACAACTCCGTGTGTGTGTATGTATAATATAAGCAAAATAGAAGGACAAGATCAATGTTTTAACAGACAAACCTTTTAGATCAGCAAAGCATGCAAGACAAATTTGGATATAAAGCATTATTCACATCATTGTTTTGAGATGACTAAAGGGACATCCGTACTGTAAGTAGAGAATGCAGCAACCAAATATACAGCATACTAAAGGCCTTAATTACATAAAAATGCAGCCTCGTATGAGATTTATTCATTCACCTATTATAGCCTTCTATAATTTAACCATTTTAATTGGGTAATAAGCAAGCTTACCTCTCCTACTTCCTTTTGAAATGTCAGAGTCAACTGTGTTCTACCATAACGAAAAGGTCCATCTCTTTTAGATACATTCTCAAGCCACTTTATTATTAGAGGAGTTGAAACACTAAAAGGCAAATTCCCAATAATATGTAAATCTGGTGGATCTATAAGGAAAGAAAAAAAAGTGTGGGTGGGATTGGAGGGGGTGAGTTTTAAAGGCTATTTTAAGTATATTTATTATGTTTTAATCTGTTTTATTACACTGTACTAGTTAATTGTTTTTTAACTTTTGTATTGTGCTTTTGTGGGGTAAAAGGTAATAATAATAATAATAATAATAATAATAATAATAATCCTTTACAGAAAACAGAAAACAGCTCTGTAGGATTAGCCAAACACACATTTTTACTATACACAAGGCATGCATGGTTCATTCTATATTGTTTGATTCATAGAAATGGCATTAACTTTAATTAATAGGGCCAATAAATAAATCAACAGATAAATAGGTTTAAAATAATAAAACTTTGTTTTCAGTGTGCTATATTCATGCATACTCTCCAACTTTAATGAGATCAATTGCCTCAACCACTCCTCTTCTAATATACAATAAACACATACACATACATTTAGCATTTACATACCACACCATCTCAGAGGTTTTCATAGAGCATTAAAATTCAATGTGTAAATCCAAGAAAAAGAAAATACTTCTATCTCTAGACAGTAAAAGGTGGGAGTCATTTGTACCCCAGCTGCATGGAATGGGAAAGTACTATTCACAACAGTCCAAAAAAATCCCAAGCTGCTATTAAAACCATTTATTATGTTTTGTGGTTTCAAAACTTCATATATTATTTATCTCATTTGTTATAAGAGAACACAATGACATAACATTTTACCACTTCCTCAAATGTAATATTTAACTAAGAAAACTTTTGTATCGCCAATTTAAAAATAAAAACATAATTCTAAAAATAATTGAAAAAATGATACCAAATCAATAAAAACAAAAACAATAAAACAATTTTGGAAGCCATTCATTTTTTTTAAATGGGTAAAATACAGAAAAATAAGTAGGTCTTTAGCTGAAATGCTTAGAGATGTAAAATTTCTGGAAACATTGAAGTCTGGGGAAAAAATAGAGGTGCTCTAAGGTTATCAGGCAAACAACTGTTTTTGAAAAAAATGAAAATGTTTTAACTGTATACTTTTCTAATTATAATTGTTTAATAGTATAAATTATACAAAATTTTATCATTATAGTTTGGTATAGAATATTTGGTACATTGGGAGAAAGATTTATTTAGATAATTGTCAGCCCACCACATTTACAGGGTTTAGAAGTGTTGGACCCCTGCGAATGTGGAAAAACCATGAATATTGTAAGACACACACATAAAATGATCTGCAGATTTGCCACTTTCTCCACTGCTGCCTTATGTCATTCGTTCCAAAAGCCCCACACTAAATCCTAAACAGAATGAAATGGGAGCAAAACACCCATTTCAAAAAAGAAATAAAAGATATCTTGTAATCATCAACATCATTAAAGTAGAGAAAATTGTTTTCTCTCTTCTCGTTCTCCCTAGTGTCCGACCAACACAAAATATTCATTTCCTTAAAATAATTGAGAAAAGAAACACCAAAAACAGCAATGATCATGTGCTATCATACATAAAAGTCTTCCTCTTTCATAATTTCAGGGGGGAAATCATGGAGTAAAATATATGGATATCCTATCTTAAATATTTTATGTAATTTAATGTTCTAAGAAAAATGACAATTAAAAGAGCCCATTTAATCTGAATAGGAATATCATCCCAAAGTGTGAGAAGGCCCTCCTCCACATTTGAACAAACAAATCTCACTAGGCTGATTATGGGAAGCAGAGTAATTTATTTTAGGAAACATATACGGGCATGTATTAGTTAACAAAGCTCTTTCTGACAATTTTGTTTATGTCTCCTTTTTCTAGCTCAAAGTTTTTAGCAAGCCTAGCACTGGGAGGGTGGTAAAAAAGGGATGGAGAAACAGACTCTGTGTTTAGTTTCAGCAGCAGTTCTAAAAAAATTTAAGTCAGGAGCTGAAATATTTTTGTCTTGCTCATCCTACTGTAGTTGCAGATGGATCTGTGCTGCCAAATAATCAAACTGCACTATATGGCAGTGTAGATCTAGCCTGAGTATGCTTTCCTGTAAACTGCAAAGTAGACAAGAGCTGCCACCAGAATTCCTATTGAGCATATGTGAACAGCCAGACAAAAATAAAAGAGAGCAGCCAACAAAACAGTCTCAGTAGTCATTCCTAGAACGTTTAAGAAGCATACAACCATATTTCGCCATTATAACGGAAATCATAAGAGTAGAGGCTGAAGGAATTGGCTATCTTTGGATGCATTTTGGAAGAAACTTTCAAGTGACCTCTAGAGAGTTCAAAATGTTTTTGTCTGCTTATGAATTCAAAGCTTTACCTAACCTGGTTGCTTCATTTCTCAAATGCATATTGAAGAAACATGGTGAAACATGTTTCTACACCTCTATGTGGTGTAGAAAAAAAATCCTAATCTTTCCTTGCTATTTCTGTATCTGGTACCATATTTTAAAAAGTAATATCCAGGAACTATTTGGCTAACAGGCATACCTGTATTCATGTCAAAACAATTATAACATAGTGTTTGGCTGTAACAATCAGAGAGAGTCCCAGAAATAAACAGGTTATTTATTTTTAGTTCTTTCAACATGCAGCTATAATTCATATCAAAAGGTTTAATGGAATAACGGTAATTCTAGCACACTTACCATCTTCCCAGTTCTTAATAAGGTGATTTGGAAAAGCTTGTCCCAATTTATATGTTAAAATATCTCCATGAACAACACGAACTTTCCCTGGAGCTGCATCTGACAGCATCTGATTTTTTTTAAAAAAAAGGGTGGGGGTGCGGTGGAGAGATTTATTTTTAAAATAATGTAAATAACAAGAAAATTGGTCTTAAGGTTACTAAAGTTGAATTACATTTTAATGATAACTTTTTGTGTGAGCTACCTACACTGTGTTTGTAAGCCACTTCCGGTTTTTGAAAAGGAGAGGTGATATAAATAAATGAATAAATATTAATAATCATCATTACTCTTAATTACAACAATAAAAATTTAATGTGATCCAAATTAATAGACATTATTTAGCCTAATTTATTATAGGACAGATGTATCTAAAATCTGCACTGGAGGCATTAAACCAGGGGTCCTCAAGCTACGGCCCGGGGGCCACATGCGGCCCACCGAGGGCATTTCTCTGGTCCGTCGAGGAGGCGGCCTCTGCCTCAGTGGAATCAGTCTTAGCTCTGCTAACGCAGAGTGCCTTTCATTCTTTTCCTGTCTCCCCTCATGCTGCATGCCAAGTTTGGTTGAATTCCATTGTTGGGACAGTTCAGAATGCTCTTTGACTGCAGGAGCTACTGCAACTCCCACATGTCTGAGTGTATTCCTCCTAAACCTTTCCAGTATTTTCTGTTGGAGCTGAAAAATAAGAGTGCATCTACACTGCAGAATTAATGCAGTTTGACACCAGTTTGACTGCCATGGCATAGTGCTATGGAATCCTGGGATTTAAAATTTTATAAGCTGTTTCACCTTTTCTGCCAAAAGATCAAACTGCAGCTCCAGGATTTCATAACACTGGGTTAAAGTGATTCTTCATTTTCAATATTACATTTGTTCCTATTTTGCTTTTTTACTTCAATATAAGATATGTGAAGTATGCATAGGAATTTGATCATAGGTTTTTAAAAAAAACAAAACAAAAAGACCTCCAGCGGTCTGAGGGACAGTGAACTGTCCCCGTGTAAAATGTTTGAGGACCCCTGCATTAAACAATACTCAGTAGCAGAACAAAAAGCAAATTTGTATTTTAAAAAAAAGCTACAATAAGGTTAATAAAACTATGGACTAGGAATCAGGAGAATCTGAATTTTGAAATTTAGTTTCCCTTCTACTGCAGTGGTTCTCAACCTGTAGTTCTCCAGGTGTTTTGGCCTACAACTCTCAGAAATTCCAACCACTTTATCAGCTGTTAGTATTTCTGGGAGTTGAAGGCCAAAACTTTTGGGGACACACAGGTTGAGAACCACTGCTCTACTGCAAATAATATTGTGTAGCTCTATAAATTTCATAACAAAGGCTAGAGCTTGTTTATTCTCCTTCAGCATTATGAAATGCCCATGACACAATACTGAATAGTATATCATAAGCATGGTAATTGCTGTCATGAAAGCCCACTGCTCAAACCAAAGGGTGACTCATTCTCCCTAGTCTCAAGAATAAAACTGTATGGTTGTCCACAGCTTTCACTCACATTGATATCAGACATGAAAACCATGGCTTTCCTCCTTTTCTTTCCCAGTTAGATTGCTGTCAAGTTTAATGATACATGTTCTTGATCCTTCCAGTGTTTAGTTATTTCCATATGGCACAAACAAATATTTGCGAGTTTTACAAACATCCAATATATGTCTGCCCAGAGGTTAAGTCCCACTAAGATCAACCAGTTTTCACTCCAGATAAGTGGTCTCCAAAACAGAAGATAATTAGCAGTTAACAGAAGGAAAACTGGTCATTTCTCATAGCAAATACAAATGTACCAGCTCTCAGCTGTAGTACTAAGACTTTATTATCATAAGGATATCATGAGGTATTACTGAATACCTGAAGCCCAGGAATAAAACGAGGATCCTTTTCAACTAAAAGAAGTTCTGTAACTCCAGCATTCAAAATGGCTCTTGTGATTCCTCCTGGACCAGGGCCCACCTCACATACATAGGCATCTTTCAGGTTTCCAGCACTTCTTGCGATCTTATCTGAAAGAAAGGACATACAGACATGTGTTTTCCTCCTCACCTTTGACAGAAAGTTGCAATCCATGTACAAGAAAAGCTTTCCACTGAACTTAAGTGCATAAGTCTGCCTGTAAATATAACTCCAATACAGTACAGCAATTGAAAATATATTCTCAAAGTAGACATGAAAAAAACATTGCAGAATTAAATAAATTGTATAATTTATTCTATAGACTTGTATCTATAAGGCTTTCTTTAAACCAGTTTAAATAAAACATGTTTAATATGTAAATAAGGGGACACAGAGTTTGAATTCTCTTGTTCATTTGCAGTAATTTTTGTGACTTTGGTGATCTTATTTTTGCAGTCTTTAAAAATTATGTTCGCTACAAGAACAGCCAACTAACTTCTGTATTAAAACAAAAAATGAATATTTATAGGACAACATGAAGTACTAATAGTCAAAGGGAAGAGCATCAAGATGAAAACAAGAAGATATCAGATGTCTGGACACAGTATTTTCCCCCATATTCATTAGATTAGTAAAAATAAATACTACAAGAATTAGGAGGAGGGAGGAAACAAGCAATTTATGATGAGTAGCAGTTTAAATCCCAATACACAAGAACAGGTCAAGGTACAACGAAGCTGTACTGTCTTCCCTTCTTCCTTTCTCTTTCTTGAGGCCACAGCAGTGTATTTGTATTTGATGAAGTATTTGCTTTGACCAAATCGTAGCTGAAGACTTAAACTATTCACAATGCCATGAACCAGCACTCCAAACATGTGTTTTGAAAATAATGTTTAACTTAAAAAAATGCAGTCAGGGGTAGAGCGCCAAATCCAAACGAGTTACTGGTTTATTTCTTGATTAAAAATGACTTCTTGGCTGCTATTTGCTGCCTACGCTAGTATCTGCAGAAAACAACACAGACAGAACAAACAAAAGGAGATGTAGGGATTTTCAACAAGACAGGAACCCCACGCCCATTTTTAATTCAAAGTAGCCAACTGAAGCATATTTTTTTATATTAAACGAAGAGCTGGGGAGAGAAAACAAACTCTCAACCCTGAAATCTTCGGCTACCGGTATCCTTCCCAAAATGAGCTAACAGCTGGCTGACTTGCCCATATTTCTTTCCTTGCATCATGGCTGCTTAAGTACACATTTTATACAAAATTAAAATATTGTACCATCACCAGCCAGACAGAATTCAGCTAACACAGCACACAACCTTGTTTTCTACTTCTGAACTTAACACTTTTGGCTGGTTATTCTGCCACAGTGAATGCTTCAGTAGTTGCAAGACTGGAACTAGTTTACCGAAGTTAATTATAACTATTTCATAATAGAATCATAGAGTTGGAAGAGACCTAGTGGGCCATCCAGTCCAACTCCCGCCAAGAAGCAGGAAGAGGACCCCTGAAAGATGGCCATCCAGACTCTGTTTAAAAGCCCCCAAAGAAGGAGCCTCTACCATACTCCAGGGCAGAGTTCCACTGCTGAACAGTGAAATGTGTGCCATATATATATGCTGTGCTCCACTCAGCTTTCCAGATCACATGGGATCTGGTGCCTTTGGGTGCACTATCATTAAGATATTGCAAGTACGGTTTATTTGCCAGTAGTGCTGTTTCTTTTTAAATAATTCTCTAAATCACAGCTTTGTAAACAGTGGGTCTAAACCGCAAAATGCACTTAGCTCAATGTTGGAGTACCAAAAAATTGGCAATAGGAAAGTATTTCTGAATACCATCCATTAACAACAACATGCAATGTTTACAGTGGACTCTGCAGATGATGCTTCAGCTGCACTCCACAAAAAGGAAAACTCAGCCTGTTTAGCAAGTGCTAGTTTATTATCATTAATTTTTTATATGTATATCTATTTGGTATACCTATATACTTGGGGTCATGTAAAATTTCTCACTTGGAAACACGACACAAGTGCTCTAAATCACTTTTTATTTACAATGTTCAAAGTATGTGACATTGGTTGCCTTTTTATAAAAGGATCCCCTTATCTCAGGACTGGAAAGGTCTCTTTTTATAGGTAGATATCCGTATTAAGCCCCCCCCCCCCCCCCCCCCCCCCGGTGATGCAGTGGGTTACACCGCTGGGCTGCTGAACTTGCTGACCGAAAAGTTGGTGGTTCAAATCTGGGGAGCGGGGTGAGCTCCCGCTGTTAGGTCCAGCTTCTGCGAACCTAGTACTTCAAAAACATGCAAATGTGATTAGATCAATAGCTACTGGTCTGGTGGGAAAGTAACGGTGCTCCATGCAGTCATGCCAACCAAATGACCTTGGAGGTATCTACGGAAAACACCAGCTCTTTAGCTTAGAAATGGAGATGAGCATTGCTCCTCAGAGTTGGACATGACTAGACTTAATGTCAGGGGAAACCTTTACCTTTACGATCTCTTATTAAAAGGAATATCTCCTATTTGTAGGCTAGAGGGTATGTCCTTTTATACCAGTGGTCTCCAACCTTTGGTACTCCAGATGTTTTGGACTTCAACTTGCAGAAATCCCAGCCATCTTACCAGCTGTTAGGAATTGTGGGAGCTGAAGTCCAAAAAGCTTGGGAGTATCAAAGGTTGGGAACCACAGTTTGTCAAGATAATTTTGAATTCTGCTCCTGTCTTCTGGAGTATTACCTATCCCTTCTAACCCTTCATCCAAGCCCAGGATGGAACCCTGTAGCACTCCACTCCTCACTTCTTTCCAGGATGAAGAGGAAGCATTGATGAGCACCCCCTGGGTTCATTCACTTAACCAATTATAGATCCACCTAACCATATAATGGGAAGTGCAAACCTACAGCACTTGTGGGACTGAGGTTGGGGAAAGATTAAAGGACAATTTAAATCTGGACATCATATCCACAAACTAGTATCTAAATTCAAACCCCACTATCGTGACTAAACAGAACAACCTTTAGCCTTCCAGATGTTACTGTATCATAGCTCCCATCAGCTCTAGTCATGATGTCAAATGATGAGGAATACAAGATTGTGGTACAAAATCTGGAGGAACAAAGAACATGACATAGCAGGCCAGATTTGGCTCCCAGCCTTGAGTTTAGCACATGTGGTCTAACAATTTGCTGACCAACCTTTCTGTTGAGTAATCCAGGGTTTCCCCCTCATTCGTTTTTACTTGTGAAGAGGCAACTATTGAAGAAAGTCTGGTCAACACAGTTACGTGCTAGCATAAGAGCAATATATCACATAAAAGCCAAACACCTAGAAAGATATTACAAAATTTAAAATCTCTGGTATTTAAACATTCTATAACTATAAATTAAACCCAAAGAATCAAGCTTAGAGGGACACTATCTCCTGCTTTTTATTCCAGGTGTTATACCCATGACAAACAACAGCCACCCACTGATACTATATTTACTTGTAAATGTCAATATAAATAAATAAATAAATAAATAAATAAATAAATATAATTTAACATAAAAATCACAAAAGGTAAAGAGCCAATCACCTGAATCTGTAAAAAGGTGTTGGTTTATGTCTGTTTCTCAGCATAAACTCACATGATTTTACAGGATCCCACTCAGGCATCTGACTAAAAGGGAAAAACTTTCAAGTATTTCAGGCATTCAATTAGCTACTTTCACCTTATACTAAATGTTCAGGTTTTCATTTTGTACCATTTCTTAGTGAACCATCTAAGCAAACAAGAACAACATTTAGCACACACATTTATTTGAAATCCACCCAATAAATCATGAACAAAGATCAAGGAATGACACAAGTCAGCTGACCTGTTAGTCTCAAATCCAGAAGAAAGTTCTGAGAGAGCTGCTTTACAGCTCTGAGTTTGAATAATTTAATAACCTCTCCAATTGTTGGAAGAGGTGGCAGACGGAACATAGTTACTCCTCTTGATGCAGCCATGGTTCAAAGTCTAAGTTCTTCCAACTAAAAAAGAAAACCACAGAAATAAAGCAAAATATTAGAACTGATTTATATATTCAGATAGTTTGAAAATCCAAAACTAGGTTTGGAAATTATGCGTACAATCACATTTTCTTGCTATTGTGTGCCTTTAAGTTGTTTCCACCAATGATCCAGTAAACCTATCTCGGGGTTTAATATACACATGTGTGAGTATATGTGCCTTTAAATCACTTGACCTATGGCAACTCTATGAATTTCATTGGGATTTCTTCCTCTGAAATGTAGTATACAGCAGCTCGTATTTGTTGATGATTTCCCAAGCCTGACATTGCTAAGCTTTCCAGATCACATGCGATCTGGTGCCTTTGGGTGTACCATCATTAAGATATTGCAAGTACAGTTTATTTGCCAGTAGTGATTTTCTTTTTAAATAATTCTCTAAATCACTGCTTTATAAACAGTGGGTCCCAACCCCAAAATGCACTTAGCTCAAAGTTGGGGTACCAAAAAATTAGCAATAGTAAAGTATTTCTGAATACCATCCATTAACAACAACATGCAATGTGTACAGTGGACTCTGCAGATGATGCTTCAGCTGCACTCCACAAAAAGGAAAATTCAGCCTGTTTAGCAAGCTCTGCAAATACTAATTTATTATCGTAAATGTTTGATATTTATATCTATTTGATATACCTATATACTTGGGGGTCATGTAAAATTTCTCACTTGGAAACAGGTCACAAGTTCTCTAAATCACTTTCCATTTACAATGTTCAAAGTATGTGACATTGGTTGCCTTTTTATAAAAGTATCCCCTTATCTCCGGACTCGATATGTCTCTTTTTATAGGTAGATATCCGTATTAAGCCCCCACCCCCACCCCCTGCCGCATTGGGTTACATCGCTGGGCTGCTGAACTTGCTGACCGAAAGGTTGGCGGTTTGTATCTGGAGAGCGAGGTGAGCACCTGCTGTTAGGTCCAGCTTCTGCCAACCTAGTACTTCAAAAACATGCAAATGTGAGTAGATCAATAGGTACTGGTCAGGTGGGAAAGTAGTCCATGCAGTCATGCCAACCAAATGACCTTGGAGATTTCTGTGGATGACTACGTCTCTTCGGCTTAGAAATAGAGATGAGCAGCACCCCTCAGAGTCAGACACGACTAGACTTAATGTCAGGGGAAACCTTTACTATGCCTTATTAAAAGGAACATCTCCTACTTGTATACCAGTGGTCTCCAACCTTTGGTACACCTTGCGTTTTGAACTTCAATTCACAGAAATCCCAGCCTTCTTCCCAGCTAAAATTGTGGGAGCTGAAGTCCAAAACGCTTGGGTGTGCCAAAGGGTGAGAACCACAGTTTTATACAGACACAACCGGATGTCAAAAATCCAGTACAGGTAGTCCCAGAGTTATAAACATCTGACTTACGAATGACTCATGGTTAAGAATTGAGGTGAAACAAGTGAGAGAAATCTATCCCTAGGAAAGGAAATCCACCCCTTTGGTCATGTCAGGAGCGACCTGAGAAACTGCAAGTCGCTTCTGGTGTGAGAGAATTGGCCGTCTGCAAAGACGTTGCCCAGGGGACGCCCAGATGATTTGATGTTTCATCATCCTTGTGGGAGGTTTCTTTCATGTCCCCGCATGAGGAGCTGGAGCTGATAGAGGGAGCTCATCCGCCTCTCCCCGTATTTGAACCTGCGACCTGTCGGTCTTCAGTCCTGCCGGCACAAGGGTTTAACCCACTGCGCCACCCTACCCCTGAAAGAGTTATAGTGGGGGAAAGGTGTCTCCAGCGAAGTTTTATCACCATTCCTTGCTTCCAAAACAAGCCAAATTTTCCAATTCTCACAGTGACAGAAAGTGAGGTGGTCTCCTAAACAAGGGCGCAGGAAGCAAAAGACAGGAGAGTTAACCCTTCCCTATGCTATCCAAGGAGATATCTATTGGATGGACTTAAAAATTCAACTTAAGGACAAACCTACACAACCTTTCTTGGGGACAGCCTGTATTTGGAACTGTAGCCATTTTGAAGAAAAAAGGATGCCAAGTTGCTTAAGCAAGAACAAAGACATGTGTCTGAATCCCAGTGCCAAATACAGATCATTATTATATAACTAAATTGGACTCGGGAATGTTGATGCAAGCCAAAAGATGAATCCATCCCCGCACGTCATGAATTAGGCCTGTCTTGCTGGTATTTTGAATTTCCTGGCACCCCTCATGTGGCATGATTTAGGGTTGTCACAGCTTGAGCTGGAGATGGGTCTAGCTTAAGCGGCTGAGGGGGGAAAGGAAAGGGCCTGAGGCTGTGAGGAATGATGGGAGTTGAAGTCCAAAACACCTGGAGGGCCCAAGTTGGCCCAGGCCTGCACTAGGGCCTTTAATCCCTCGTAGCCGACACAGAACCAGCTGGGGGCGGCTTTAGAAGCTCTTGGGAGAACAGCACGCCCTCTCCCCACAACCTCCCTTCGGTTCCTTTACTGACTAAAGACTTCCAGTCCCGCTGAGGCGAAAGACAGCACTCCGTTCGTAAGCCACTGCGCATGTGCGGCCAGGACGGGCGGGGGGAGGAAGAGTGCGCATGCGCAGAAGAGATAGCTCCACGCGTCATGCTTACCGGAAAAATAAAATGTTTCCAGGCGGAGTAGAAGGGGAAGGACGGAGAGCGCAGCCGCGAGATGCTGACTGTCTCTCTTATACACCTAAATACATATATTTATCCCCTTTCTTCTCCCGCCCCTGCCGTGGTGCCCTCGTGGCTCCGGATGGGGAAAGGACGATAAACGGAAATACGTCACATATTTCTGTAAACACACAGAAAGGCGGAACTTCTTGCTTCTTGTCTGCTCCAAGGAGGCATGGGGAGGGGGCGTGTGCGGCTTCTCATTGGCTGGCCAGAGAAGTCTTGCGCCCTCTCATTGGCTGCGTAAGAAAGAAAGGCATTCTCTCATTGGGTAAGGAAAGCTGTACGAAAGACTGGGACCTGCCCCTGTGTGGCGCCAGGACTGAAGACCGACAGGTCCCAGGTTCGAATCCGGGGAGAGTACGGATGAGCTCCCTCTTATCAGCTCCAGCTCCTCATGCGGGGACATGAGAGAAGCCCCCCACAAGGATGATAAAACATCAAATCATCCAGGTGTACCCTGGGCAATGTCCTTGCAGACGGCCAATTCTCTCACACCAGAAGCGACTTGCAGTTTCTCAGGTCGCTCCTGACACGACCAAAAAAAAAAAAAGAAAAAGAAAAAAAGAAATGAGTTGCATGTAGAAGTAATGCAGTTTGATCCCACTTTAGATGTTTTCCAATCTTGAGAGTTGTAGTGTTACATGGTCTTTAGACCTCTCTCCATGCAGGAATGCAGGCCATGTGACTTTGGAGGTGTCTACGGACAACGCCGGCTCTTCGGCTTAGACATGGAGATGAATACCAATCCCCAAAGTCAGACACGACTGGACTTAATGTCAGGGGAAAACCTTTACCTACCTAGACTTCTCTCACCAAACTACAACATCCAGGATTGCATTGCATTGGTCTATAGTACTTAAAAGTGGGCTTAAACTGCATTAATTCTGCTGTGTAGATGCACCCAGAGTCACTACATTCAAGTAATTGATCCACTGGCTCAGCTGCTTACTTCCAAAGTCTGAATTAAATCATAATTAGGTTGCTGTGGGTTTTCCAGGCTGTATATCCATGTTCCAGAAGCATTCTCTCCTGATGTTTCGCCCACATCTCTGGCAGGCATCCTCAGAGGTTGAGAGGTCACCCCTGAGGATGCCTGCCATAAATGCGAGAGAGAATGTTTCCGGATCATGTATTGTCGAAGGCTTTCATGGCTGGAATCACTGGGTTAGTGTAGGCTTTTCGAGCAGTATGGCCATGTTCTGGAAGCATTCTCTCCTGACGTTTCGCCTGCATCTGTGGCAGGCATCCTCAGAGGTTGTAAGGTCTGGAACATGGCCATACAGCCCGAAAAACTCACAGCAACCCAGTGATTCCAGCCAGAAAACCATAATTGGTACAAATTTTGCATACTCTATTTCATAATAACAATGTAGTGATAATGCATTTTATTTTCTTTCTCTCCAAACGGCTCAACAAAGTCAAAACGTGAACATACGAGGGTTGAATGAAAAGTAATACTTCCACCTTCGTTAACTCCTCAACAGATGACAGTACTGGTATGTGGCAGGTACTGGCTTGTTCAGTAGATGGTCTTCTACAGTTCCATTTTGGCAGGATACCTTAGCATTGAACGTTTGTGTTGTTAAAGTGCGAAGTGTGGAACCCTGTGCAGATGGTCGGTCAATGCGACTTAAGCAACGTGCAGTCATTGAATTCTTGACAGTAGAAGGTGTCACCCTAAAGGAGATTTATCAGAGAATGCAAGCTGTTTATGGTTGTACTGCGTGTCATTGGGCGAGTAAGTTTAAAGATGTTGCGGTGGGAACATCTGACTTGCGTGACAAGAGTTGGATGTCCTGTGACAGCAACCACTGAGTTTCACAAGCAAAAGGTTAACAGATTGATTCAGGACGATCATCGTTTCAGTCAGAGAGAAATTTCAAGCATAATTTGCATTTTACAAGAACGTGTGGGTCACATTATTGTTTTTCTTGGCTATCGGAAGATCTGTGCATGATGGGTACGTTGAGAAAACTGTGAGACGCTGGTTGCAGAAACAGTGTCAACTTCTTTTGTAACAGCTTCAGAAAACTTGTTCATCATTGGCAGAAATGTATCCAATTGTCTGGTGATTATGTGGAAAAGTGAATAGTGGTAGTAAAAGAGCACATTCTAAGGATTATTTCTGCATTTGATTTATTAAAATATTCCCATCCAAACCCAAGTAACAAAGGTGGAGGCATTACTTTTCATTCAACCCTTGTAAAATACATACAATAAAATATGTAGATAAAACATGTCATTATAAAAACACACTAAACATGATACAAAAGTCAACATAATCATGGCAAAACTCATGATTCAGAGTTGACTGGATAGACTAGCCGAAAGAGAGACGGTAAATCTGTAAGTCTTTTAAATTCTGACAGCTCTCAAGGCTGTTCACATGAGTATCTGAGATAGTGACACTTTTCCTCTCTTATGCTCCAATGTACTCAAAYGTTTCATGCATAAAAAATCCTGTATAAAGGTGTTTTCAGACTACATTTATAAGGTGTACAGTTGGCCATCTATATTCACGGGTTTTTCTTCTATGGGTTCAGTCAWCCACAGCCATAAAATATTTATAAAAACAAAAAACCCCAAACCAAACCTTGATTTTGTCACATGCTGAAGCCTTGTGATAGCCTCCTGCCATTTCACTGATCTTCARGCTTTTTCCTGCAATCACTTTGAGTCGTTTACCATTTTACATAAAGGACTTGAGCATCCATGAATTCTGCTATCTACAGGGGGTCTTCGTGCCAAACCAAGGGCCCACTGGATATGAAACATATATGAATTCTGTATTTTGACTTGGGTCCCTTCCCAAAGATATTATATTATGTGTATACAAATATTCCAAGATCCAAAGCATTTGATCCCAAGCATACTCAACATATAATTTATTTTTACGGGCAATAGGACAAGGTCTACTTAATTTCATTTCTTGAAATATCTTCATACTCTGCTTTTCTCAGCTTAGGCAATCCCTCATTGTCCGAGTATGATGGCCTTCCAACGGTAGTGTCTTGGCGGTGGATTCGTAGGTGATTTATTCTTGACCTGCATATTCTTCCACAGCGAGGACATCGGTTTCCAGGTGAAAGGGGGTCCAAGTCAGGGTTGGCTTGATGTGCCTTCCTCTTGGCATGTTTCTCCCTTTCACCCTCCATTCACGCCTCTTCAAATTCCACAGCACTGCTGGCCACAGCTGACCTCCAGCTAGAGCGCTCAAGGTCTTCTTTTTACATTTTATTTATTTAAATATTTATATAACTGGCCAACACATATTTTGGTCTCTCAAGTGTTAGCCTCGTTTCTCCCCGTTCTGTTTAATATTGTAAGAAAGAAAGGAATGGTTGCTGAAAGTTCTAATTGCTTTCCAATTGTGCTTCCCTTTAGCCACTTGTGTGTCCGTGGCTCCTTGTTTTGACAGGCCAATCAATTGTTTCAGACTTTTAAAACATGTGGGCTGAAGCGGTCCACACAGGGGAAAGGGAAGGAAGTCATGTATGACTGCAGGGATATACAGTCATGCGAAGGTGCACATTTTGGGGGCAGAATTAGGTTTTAAGCGCACCATTTAAGCACGTGCTTTCCAGCTGTTAACTTGATGCCACCCACATTTTCTACAAATGTCATTTAAACACACACACCCCTTTTATTCCAGTTACTTCCGGGTTTTACTGCATGTGTAGAAGGGCCCTTATTGTCATACATTCTCAGGCACCATGTATCCTGATGCATGCTGTGTGCAAATATTATTATTTTGAGGGCCATTTATAGTGAAATCCTATACATGTGCATTCAAAAGTAAATCCTGGGTCTCATCTGCATTGGCCATGTAAAACAGTTTATTTATTTATTTATTTTTAGCATGTATATCCCTTCCTTCTCTCTCCCAAAGAGGGACTCAGGGCGGCTTCAAATTAAGAAAGTAGTTTCACTGTTTTTGTTGTTATTGTTTATTTATTCATTTGTTTCTGACTCTTCATGACCTCCTGGGCCAGCCCACACCAGAGCTCCCTGTCGGCTGTGGCCACCCCCTGGGCTTCTTCAAAGTCAGGCCAGTTACTTCAAGGATACCATCCATCCATCTTGCCCTTGGTCTGACCCTCTTCCTTTTTCCTTCCATTTTCCCCAACATCATTGTCTTCTCCAAGCTTTCCTGTCTTCTCATTATGTGGCCAAAGTACTTCATCTTTGCCTCTAATATCCTTCCCTTCAGTGAGCAGCCGGGCTTTATTTCTTGGAGTATGGTCTGGTTTGATCTTCTTGTGGTCCAAGGCACTCTCAGGATTTTCCTCCAACACCACAGTTCAAAAGCGTCTATCTTCCTTTGCTCAGCCTTCCTTATGGTCCAGCTCTCACATCCATAGGTTGCTACGGGGAATACCATTGCTTTAACTACGTGGATCTTTGTTGCCAGTGTGATGTCTCTACTCTTCACTATTTTATCGAGATTGGTCATTGCTGTTCTCTTAAGAAGTAAATGTCTTCTGATTTCCTGGCTGCGGTCTGCATCTGCAGTAATCTTTGTGCCTAGTTTCACTGAA